GGCATTGGAAAACATTGTGAAACTGGAAAGATCAGTGGAAAGAGGGGTTGAGGCAGACCAAGAGAGATGATGTTAGATGGGCTGAAACGATAGCATGAAGGGATATCATCATAAGAGCTGTTCCAGGCAACCAGGGATCATGATCTGTGGAGATGCAAGAGTGCCTATGCCAACTGGCAGGGCACATCATGATGATGAATAGCTTACTATCCAAACATAGCTTTAGACAAAAGTAACAATTGAAAAATTACAAAGTAATTCATTCAGCTACTTTAATAAGATCTTGTCTTTGAAATCATTGGTCTATGTACACAGACACATATCTTTGTACAAGAACATAATTTACTCACAACTTTAGTTGAAATACAAGTTATGACACGGCACAGGGAATATGTAGGAAAGAATTAACACACACAACCAGTGACAGAAAAGAGAAACTGGGAGAGACAAACAGATAGGAGAGTACTGAAATCTTGAGAGAAGTAATGAAATGTTAAGAGAAAGAAAGGAAGAAGGATAGAGAGAGAAAGAGAAACAAGCATAGATATATACAGAGCCTTCCATACAGAGAGAAATAAAGGAAAAGAAACAAGCATAGACATATTCAGAGCCTCACATACAGAGAGAAAGAAAGGAAAAGAAACAAGCATAGATATATACAGAGCCTCACATATAGAGAGAAAGAAAGGAAGAAGGATAGAGAGAGAAAGAGAAACAAGCATAGATAAATGCAGAGCCTTACATACAGAGAGAAAGAAAGGAAAAGAAACAAGCATAGACATATTCAGAGCCTCACATACAGAGAGAAAGAAAGAAAGAGGAACAAGCATAGATATATACAGAGCCTCACATATAGAGAGAAAGAAAGGAAAAGAAACAAGCATAGACATAAGCTGAGCCTCACATACAGAGAGAAAGAAAGGAAGAAGGATAGAGAGAGAAATAGAAACAAGCATAGACATATGCAGAGCCATAAATAGAGCGAAAGAAAGACACAGATCAATTCGAGAGAAGCAGCTAAAGGTGGATGAGGTGAGAAAGAGAGAGAGACAAAGAGACATAAAAAGGTAAGAGAGAAAGCAGTTTAAAAGAAAAAAAAAAACATTTCAAAAACAAACTTATGAGACACAAAGACATGGATGCGAAGGCAAACAAGTGAATCCATGAACATTTTGTTTATGATAAGTTATGAACTCCTCTTCTTCTCCTTTGTGTTCAGCAGCTGTAAACTCTTGTGGAAAGTTCTGGTTGTTTGTCCACTTCTGTAGTCTTGTTCCAGAACTTGAGTTTTTCATGCATATCCGTTTTACAGAGCTGGCTTGCTTGTATGCAGACTGTTAGTTTCCCTCCTCTCAGGAAGAAGCACTGCAACTAACTTTGCCACATGCTTTTAGGGAGGCAGTGGGTCTATTCTTTATTCCCTCAAAATGGGTCCTAGAAGTCACACAGGGAAATTTATAAACAAATGAATGATCGTAAAAAATCTGTTTGATTATCTCTGCAGCTGAGTGACCCAATGAGCAATATCACAAAGATTTAAAAAAAAAAATATGAAGTCAGCAGTGAATTATAATACATGTAAAACATCACAGAAACCATCCACATTTCTAAATATCACCAGAAATGCAGCAAAGGAATTGTAAATCAACAAATCTACACAGATGAATAAAATAGCATCAACTTTATTAACTAAAACTGCATCAATAAAACAAATGCGTCTGGGCCATCAGTCAATGTTTCCTATATAGAAAGATTTCCCCCATGGTTCAGGATTTGATCCAGCTAGATTACAAATCCAGTCAGTATGGTTGAGGATTTGATCCAGCCAGATTAAAAATCCAGTCAGTATGGTTCAGTATATGTCCAGCCAGATTAAAAATCCAGTCAGTATGGTTCAGGATTTGATCCAGCTAAATTAAAAATGGGTATCAGATAATTTCCTGAATTTTCTGGGGGGACTGTCTCCTAATGAAAGAGTCTCTTGTGAATCATCTTATCTCTTGGGCTCTCTATCCTCTAAAGGTCTTTATGTCCAACAGCTTTATTTTTAAAATAAAATAGTTACATCCCTTGCCATAACCTTTTATTCCACTGACCTATTCTGCCTCTGGATCACTTCCTTTCAAATACTCCGGAAAGGACTAGTGAAATCAGAGACTCCACTGTTCAAGTGTGGATGGAGATTTTGTGACAATTTTTTGTGTCAGTCGGTGTAGTACACCGATGAAGGCTTTTTAGCAGCCATGTTCATTTCATCATGACTGTCGTACAGTAAAGCTAACTTACTCTAGTTTTCTTTTAGACCGACATTTCTGAAAACTGTGTGGAAAGGAAAATCATCACCCACCACCTCATATGTTAATGCCCACAATTTATGAAAGCCTTAAAATTTCACACCTTCATAAACATAAATTGAAAATGCTCCTCTGTGTCTCTGCTTGCCTCTTATGTTTTCCCTCATCCCTAGTCAACTTTCTTGTCATGATTTATGTCTAGTTAATTCATCTTTTTCATATTCCCATGAACGGAACCTCTTCTTCAAAGTCAGTGGCTGACAATGTATTCTTTAAAGACACAAATATTCCAGCCAGTCTTTATCAACAACAACAACAAATATGTACTGAGTAATTAATGATGTGGCCGGCGTGATGCTGACCACATCACCCATCTTGTGCCGATTGGTCTATAAAAATATAGGTCTAGCCCTATGTGCCCTATACGCCTAAAGGCGTGGAAAAGGGTCCTTTACTTTTTTTTTTTTTTAATTAATGATGTAACTGCATGACCATCATCACTGAGGCTTACAGGAAAATTTCAAGTCAAATATGCTTTGATAAACTCTTTAGATTTAAAAAGAAACTCCTCTAGTAGGTATATTTAGTTAATATATTCACATCCAGGCCTCCCATACACTGCGCAGATGCACACAGAACCAATAGCATCTAACTAAGCTTTTCGAGAGCAAGTCACTACAGAAACAGCAATACATCAGCACTCTCAGGGCTGTGTCACAAACAAAGTGACTAGATTTTGCTTTCTCCTAGCGACGGTAGGGATTCAAGTCTTTCACTGAATTATCATCAAAGAGAATGGAACCCACACCAAAACATCATTTTAAACAGAGCAAATGTTATATTCGCCTGCACATAGATTTACAACAATTACAAATTTTAAAATAACTAATTGTGGCAACAATAACCCAAAAAAACTATGTACACACAACTCATTATTGTTTAAAGAAAAAAAAATTACACTGTACAGCTTGTAATGCCAAAGTTGTCAGTTGAGTGCAACTACTCTTGTGTTGACATGTCTATAAAGACATGGTTCTAGCTATATTTGTGTCCAATGCATTAGTAGTGTGAACAGGGTTCTTTACCATTTTTACTATGGCTTTCGGCAAGCTGCAGCCAAAAAAAAAGAGTTTTCAGCCACACAACACTTTTTTTATAATCTGGCTGTAATTTTAATCACTCTTCCCTGTCCTTGATATGGTAGCAACCCCAAAGGCTATGTTGGATCCTATTATAGGGTGGCCCATGTCAGACAGGTAGATGGAAAGCAATCAGTCAAAGACAGATGGAGACAAACTTGCCACCTTGTGGGCAGATCTGGGACAGCAGAGGCTGGAGAAAGTCATCCTGAAATATACTGTTCAAAAACAGAAACACAGTTATCTGACGGTGCTTTTTTTTTTTAATTAGTTAATGGGAAAAGCGGGTATGCGTAAACTATAATGACCTAGAAGCAACTGCTGTCAATTAACTGGCTGAACCCTAAAGTTTTCTTGTGTGCAACTTGAACAATTTCAGTGATTAAATTCCAAAGATTCTGAATGTCAAAATTATATTCCTATGCATTTCTTTCTTTTCTTCTTGAGTAGGAAAGTGCCATCCGATGTATGTGTGTGTTTCTTTTTAAGTGTAAAATAATGCTGGTTTAAGCTAAAAATACAGAGCCAGCAGCTAGATAAAAGTGCAATGTGATTCCTATCAGGGTGCTTACAGGACAGCTTTAATCTATTCTCTACAACAATGATGTACTGATAAATACTATAAGATCACCTGTTAAAGTACAAAAGACTTAAGTTTATAGTGCATATCCGAACAGAAGGTAAAAATACTACACTTCTTCTTTGTCGTTCGTCCCAGTGATGTAAACATGTTTTGGTTTTTACAGCATAGCTGTGATATTTGCACCTTTTGGCATACACATCTGACCTTTTCTAGCATGTGTTATCCGGGTTAGCTTTCTAGAAATACTATACTATAACCAGCTTTAATTAATCAGGCGCCATCTCTACAGTTAGGGTTGGCTTAAACAGATCCCTAACACTCTCCGTATAGTATTCTGGTTGTACACTCTATAAAGACTATTGTTTGTCTGTCCCTCAAATTATTATGAATGCCCACATCTTGATTAACCAACAGTGACAGTTAAAGTCAAGAAGAACAACTTTGTTGCAACGAGTTACCCCACCTAGCTGTTTCTCTCCCCACAGCAGCTAGCCACCTGCCGATAGCGTCACACAAAGTATAAACTCCGTAGACCCAAAGATGATCCCCAGAGATCTCCTTTAAAAACTGTACCCGTGAAACAAAACCACAACCCAGAGAATGCATAGTAAACAGATTAATTGTTTAGACCAGAGAATTCTGTATTTTGATTTACTATAACCTGGGACAGGCCAGTGTTCTTTCGCCCACTTAGCAAATGGACAAGGCACCCAAGAATTTATCTCTTTGTCCTCCCTTTGCTCTTTCTCCATCAAGTTTGCAGCTGTCGGTTAAAAATTTTCAAGATCTGTCTCCTCATAAAATAAACAAATACTGACTGCCTACTTCTGATTTTACTGTAATTATAAAATGTATAAATTAAAAGTAATTAAAATAAAAATGTCTGTAGACCTTTATGATACCCTGTAAAACATGTTTTGTTACAGAAATAATTTAACAATATAATATCTCTTTCAACTGTCAGCATATTTTCTAGAAACTGACTTAAAAATCCATTTCTGCGAATGCTGACGGACCAAATGAATCGAATCCCACACGTATCTGGCCAAGATTATCTACCCTGACAGGAAATGTTTTTGCTATAAGATTTCGATCTTTCGGAGTGACACATATCCCGGAAGCGATATCAAAAGTCCATTTATGCCAAGGGCACTTGACAGCCATCTTGCCAGTAGATAGTTCCTCAATGTCTGCCAGGTGTAAGGGACCACCTGTCGGAGAATATAAACAAATAATATAATTCAAATTGAGTACATTTCATACAAGGGAAGTAATCCACATTTTCATGCCAATGGTGTGTCTATCATACAGTGCTTTTCTATAGGGACCACACATTACATTTTCACCAGGACAATAATGTTTTTAAGTGTGTCAGTACTCCAGAAAAAACGCCAAATGCTCATTTAAAAAAAAAAATCTAGGAATAAAATTTAGAATATTTATTAATTACTATGATTACACAATTTATTGGCCTATATATTCTCCTGTGTTAATACACTTTAATTTCATAATTGTTTTTCTCTCATGATCCTTTTATGGGATGCAATTTTTTGTTATTTGAAGCCCTACCCTGGCTTTTGCCGGTGGCCCTGAGTAATTGGTCTCAAGGCTGAAAGGGGTTTCTTAGACCCTCTCCGCAGGTGATCCTCATCTGCATGGTGGTACTTTATGTCACCGGGTGTTTATCGCTAGTGTGATGTCCTGGTGGGTACAACTACTTACCTACCTTTTAAAAATAATAATAATAATAATAATAATGTATAGAATTTTTTTTTAAGCGCGCGCAAAAAAAAGGTGGAAGTGAAGACTGACTGATTGGGATGTCACGTTTTCAGCTCAAGATATAGTCAGTCTATGCTTCGCCCGTCATTTAATATATCACTCAATGAATGGTGCGGTCAACATTGTGTCGGCAGACACCACCTCCCAGGACATTTCCTGGTACCAATGTTAGACTAACTCGACCTAGGAGTCAAGGTCATTTACAACAAAAAAAAATAATAATAATCTGCTCCAATGCAGATATTTCTATTTCTTCTTTGTGTTCACCAGCTGTCAACTCTGGCGAAACGTTCTGGCTGTTAATCCACTTCTGAACTTTAGTCTTGTTTCAGAGCTGGAGTTCTGTGTGCACATCCATTTTACTTATAGATCTGGCATATGTGTACACAGACTGCTGGTTCCTCACCTCTCATGCAGATGCACTCCAACTTAAAAGGAAATAGCCCTAATTACTTGACTCTTATGACAGGCTTATTTTGGGGCAGTGGGTCTATCTCCCCCCCCCCCCCCTCCCCCCACGGGGGACAAAGCCCAGACCTCCAGGGTGCCAGGAAAGTGTGTATCCACTGCTGCTTCTCTTACATAATATATATTTTAAATGAAATAAAAAGGCCCATAAACAGTATATCTTTGAAAATAAAATAAACAGAATATCTTTAACAAGGAAATAAACAATATATCTTACAGTATATCTTAGACAATGAAACTTTTAACCATTTAAACTTCCTCCTTTTCCATGCAGGTTCCGGTTTCCACTTTAGGAAAACAAGAATAGACTCACTGCCTCCCCAACAAGCATGTCGTACGAGTTGACTAATTTGGAGCTCCCAGAGTGTACCTGAGAGGCAAGGAACCAACGATCTGCACACAAGTAAGTCAGAACTGTAAAACGGATGTGCATGCAAGACTCAGGTTCTGGAACAAGAGTAATGTCCAGAGGTGGATGAACAACAAGAAATCTCCACCGGTTTAGAGCCGGTGAACAGAAAGAAAAACTGCCTCCTTAGCATGCATCAGAATAAATCACATACAGATGTGGATCAATTGCCCTGCTGATTGATAAGCACAGGTTGTCAGGTTTCGCCATCTGACACAATCAAAAGAATCACAGATAAGGTCAGTGCTCTGGTTCATCTTTCTTCTTCTCTAGTCTTGTTCTGCTATCATTGCAGGATTTTAAAAGGGCATCAGGTGCAAGCCACAGTATGTGCTATGTAGATTCATGGTTTAAGATATTATATCTATTCTTCAGTAGTGTGGTCAAACTCTGCTTCCACTGTTTAAGTAAGAGGGCACTCTGTGGTGCACTCTCTGTCTTGTCCCCCTCCATATAGCTTAGCTGAGCCATCCAGGTATTTATCTCCTTGCCTTCTCTCTGCTCTTTTTCCATCAATCATGCCATTTGTCACCAGGTTTTTGAGACCTTCATCTTCTTCTTCTTCTTCTTCTTCACGTTCACTGGCTGTAAACTCTGGAAAAAATTTCTGGAACAGGACTAGAGTCCAAAAGTGGATGAACAACCAGAAATTTTGCACGTCTGACTCATTTGCATGCAGACTGTTGGTTTCTTGCTTTTCAGGCAGACGTACCCCAACTTTGAAAGAAGCTCCCAATTAGTCAACTCTTATGACATGCTTTTGGACAGGCATTGGGTCTATTCTTGTTTCTCCCCACAATGGGACCCAGGAACCCACACAAGGAGTTTTCGAGACCATTCCTTCTGATAACATGTCCGAAAAACATTTACCGTCCACATCTAATTTCTATCTGGTATTCATCAATACCTTACACTCATTTATTCATCTTAGGGTTTCTTTTTAGTGTCTTCACCTCCTTAATCCATTTATTTCCCATTCCAATACCTGTTTAGTGATTCCCTGCTGGTTTCTTCTCAGGATGCCAGTACGTTACAAGTGTCTCTAAATTACTGACACGAGGAACACAAAATCTGTACCTACCAAGATGCGGACATTTGGCCTGTATGGCAAAAACTTCTTTTCCAATACGGAAAAGTGCAATCTCTTTATCATTTATTATCACAGTATTGCCAAAACACTTCTGATACATTTTGATGTTTCCATGTGTTGTGGACTTTAAATCATTCTTGGCATTGAGACGGACCAGGTGGCACTGGCTGCGCTCATCTGGGTCCTGCCAGTCAAGCAGATCTGAAACATGAAACAACACACACTGACATCAAAGTTCCAATTCATTCAGTGCATCAAGGTTCAAGACATTCAGGATTTCTCTGGTTCAAGACATTTAGGATATCTCTAGTTCAAGACATTTAGGATATCTCTGGTTCAAGACATTTAGGATTTCTCTGGTTCAAGACATTTAGGATATCTCTAGTTCAAGACATTTAGGATATCTCTAGTTCAAGACATTTAGGATATCTCTAGTTCAAGACATTTAGGATATCTCTAGTTCAAGACATTTAGGATATCTCTGCCCATCAAAAATGCAAACAGCAGAGAAAAGCGAGTAAGAAGCAACCATGAAATTCATAATCTGGTTAAATCACCAGTAATTAATGTCATTATAAGGGCTAACAGGCGGTAATAGTTAGGACACAGAGAGAATGTCACATAAGAGAAAGACACAAAAGAGCTGAATAGGAGCAGATCATGAGGCAGACCTACAAACACTTGGAGTCACCAACTGGAAAGAGAATGCCAATTACAATTTCAGGCTTTCGAATGTAAATGCTATAGACGCATTTTACGAGTTATTTAGAACACAAAACTAATACATGTGTCAGAGACCAAATATTCAAATTTGCGGAACATCAGGAGCCTCTCTTGGCAGTGGTGAAACGTCACAAGCTATCTTGGTTTGGGCACATGGTGAGACATGATTCGATTGCAAAGACTGCACATCAAGGAACATTAGGGGGTAGTCAAAGAAGAGGAGAGCAAAGAAGAACCTGGAATGACAACATCAAGAAATGGACAGGACTAAGTTATCATACATTTATTCATCAAGCAGAAGACAGAGAAAGATGATGGGTTTTATGTGCTAGTGCTTCCATCAATACACCTCCACAACACTAATGGGTCAAGGGTTATGTTATGTAATGTTATGAGGTGAGATATCTGCAGCAATGAACCTCAAGGGCCCAGAATGATGAAGGAGAAGCTCAAGGCTGTCAAATCTTTACTGTTCCAGATTGACAACGAGAAATATTACAGATTGATGTCAAGGTCTAGACATTCCATGCAATATTGTCAGCGCATGTAGTCGCTTTTTTAAAATTACATTTTTTCTCCCTCTGGGAATTGCAGCCTCTATGACTGACACCCAGGGGGATACTATGGCAGAAAATCTCAGAAACCATGTCTTTTTCTTCTGCTTCTTGTTCAACGACTTTAAACTGGTGGAAAGTTCTGGTTGTTTGTCCATTTCAAGACTTTAGTCTTGTTCCAAAATTTGAGTTGTGCGTGCATATGCTTTTGTTGTTGTTAAATTACAGTGGATTTCATTGCATGGAAAGTTCTGGTTGTTCAACCACTTCTGGACTTTAACTTTGATAACTTTATTGCATGCATATCCTTCTCTTCTTCTTTTTACATGCATTTGCAGACTGACTGTTGGTTTCTTATATCTCAGGCAGATGTATGCCAACCTAAAAAGAAACACCCCCTATTTAACTGACTTTTACAACATGCTTGTTAGGTGGGGCAGTTGTGTCTATTCTTGTCCCCCCACAACTGGGTCCCAGAAACCACATGGGCAGAAGCAATCTTCAGTCATATAAGCTAGTTGCATATCTTTTATAGGACATTGCAGAACCAAACATGGCATGTTTTTGCGATTTTACTAGGCAATATAATGTTCAGAATCCTGACATTGTTGTCAATAAAAATGGTGACACTATCACACTGAGGCTGGTTTTTCTTTCGGATGTCTCCTCTCTATAGCTTGCAGCATGTGGTCTCCTGCAAAGTGTGACAGTCTTGTCTTTCAATGTCTGCCTCCACAGGAGTCGGTCTGCAGCTGATCTCTCCCAAATGTATGTGTCAATGTTGGTATTTAGGTCACGTTTGCATGCGTTTTTATAGCTGCAGAAATTATCCATGTTTACAGGTCAGCATACAAGGGATCTCTGGGATACATCCGCCCTCTGTGGGGAAGACATGTCCGAACCAGCGCAGATGTCTCTGCGTCAGTATAAAATAAACTGTTGGCATTCCTGCTCTTCTGAGCACACATTTGTTGGGGGGAAAAGTCTCGCCATGATATACCACCACTGTGTCTCATACAGCTCACGAGGAAAGTATTAAATCTTTTTTCTTGATGAGTATACAGAATCCAGGTTTTTCTGCCACATAAATGGGACAGGTAATCAAAAGAAGTTGGACCAAAAAAAAAAAAAAAATGTCTGAGCAACAATTAGTAAAAAAAAAAAAGGAAAGATCCCTTTTCACGCATCGGGCATATGGACAGAGCGTCCCATATTTTTACAGACCATCAGCACTCTGTGGGTAATGTGGTCAGCATTACGCCGGCTGTCTTTACTTTCCCAGGACAGCCCATCCTGGTACCCATTTTAGGCTGGGTCGACGTCCCATACCACGATAAAAATCCACGCAGCCTGCAGTGGGTTTCGATCGCGGCATGCTGGCTTACGAGTCGGACTCGCAACGCCTTAGCCACGGATGCCGCCCAACAACTAGTAGCAACAGTTAAACGACAGTGAATGACATTATACAGGATACATTTTGAAAACTGATGAACAGAACATCACAAAACAGGCACTGAAATAGGAAATATAGTTGAGTTGAGTCAAGAACTGACATCACAGCACTCTGGACATTCCCATGCATGCTCCGTCCTCATCTTCAGCAGCCAGCGCAGAGTTCCAATACTGATGGTACCAGTCACAATCTAGTGAAAAGTCCGTCTTGCTTTTCCTCTGAGTGTAATGAGCCGGCCAGACCCTCTAGTTACACCAGGTGCCTCATTCTTTCCAGACCATAATAATCTTTTTTCTCTACTGATTTCGTTGCTTGTTCCCAAAGGGCCCTGACCACATCTGCCTTGTCATGTATCAATTTACCACCCAGTGGTGCGGATCCAGCCAATCTGTCTGCCTGTTCACAGAGGAAATAGAGGGCGTGAGGAATCAAGGATTTCCAGCCTTAAAAAAAACCTAAAAATAAATCTGAGGAGAGAGGTCAAAGGTGCTGGACTGGACTCCATCGATGATATCCAAGTGACTGCACAGGATAGAATGGAAGTAGAAATAGAGAGCTGGCTCCATGTGAAAGATAAAGACACAACAGGACAATGAATAAAAGGCAGCATGCTCAGGACATCAATTAATATTAACAAGTGTAGTCATAATAATACTACTAATAATAGTAGTCATAATAATACTACTAATAATAGTAGTAATAATAATACTACTAATAATAGTAGTCATGATAATACTACTAATAATAGTAGTCATGATAATACTACTAATAATAGTAGTCATAATAATACTACTAATAATAGTAGTCATAATAATACTACTAATAATAGTAGTCATGATAATACTACTAATAATAGTAGTCATGATAATACTACTAATAATAGTAGTCATAATAATACTACTAATAATAGTAGTCATAATAATACTACTAATAATAGTAGTCATGATAATACTAATAGTAGTCATAATAATACTACTAATAATAGTAGTCATGATAATACTAATAATAATAGTAGTCATAATAATACTACTAATAATAGTAGTCATAATAATACTACTAATAATAGTAGTCATGATAATACTAATAATAATAGTAGTCATAATAATACTACTAATAATAGTAGTCATGATAATACTAATAATAATAGTAGTCATAATAATACTACTAATAATAGTAGTCATAATAATACTACTAATAATAGTAGTCATGATAATACTACTAATAATAGTAGTCATAATAATACTACTAATAATAGTAGTCATGATAATACTACTAATAATAGTAGTCATGATAATACTACTAATAATAGTAGTCATAATAATACTACTAATAATAGTAGTCATGATAATACTACTAATAATAGTAGTCATAATAATACTACTAATAATAGTAGTCATAATAATACTACTAATAATAGTAGTCATGATAATACTAATAATAATAGTCATAATAATACAACTAATAATAGTAGTCATAATAATACTACCAACAAGTGTAGACTGTTAATTTACCTTTTAGTGTTATTTCTGGTACAGGAAAGTAGTACAACTTATCGTCTTCTTGCATAATGGCAGCAGCAGCGGTACAATGTGTGGAAGCAGTTTTTGACTAGCAGCAAGTTTCTGGGAAACCTACTGCCTCCAGTATAAATATTTTTTATTTTATTTTATTTATGACAAAAATGACTCTCCAAACTCACTGAGCGCTTCTTGAAACACATAAATTGACTGAGTATTCAAGAAAGATAGTTCATAGCTACAACAAATTTAACTTTCTTAAACTTCGATTCTCAGCCCAGTCTTAACTAGAAACCACATGCTTTACATTTCATAGTAGTGGTTGTCTAGAGGCACGCACAGCTGAGAAACAGGGTTTCCTCGAATATTTTTAGAAGTTAGGTTGCTAATTTACAAACAAGGATCAAGTAGTTAATAGGCGTGAATTGTTATTTTTTTTTACAAATCAAACTCAAAGCAATATTAATTATTACAATAGGTGTTCTCAAGAGTTTACCACTTCACTTCACAAGGTGAGAAACTACACTGGTTGTTGTAAACGTTAAGGTTCCATCCTGTACTTATATAGCATCAACAGAATGCTTCTGTGTCAAACTGACACTGTCTGAATGTCAATTTACTGAACAGCTGGCATCATTATTATATTAATTATTCAATCGTTATCAGCTTGAGTCAGTTCTTGTCTCATGCAAGCCACGACATCGGGAAATCTCGCTAGTGTCTGACAAACTTATGAACAACCTCCAGTGTGTTAAAGTGACACAGTTTTATCGTAAATCTAATATCAACTGGCTGTACTTTTTAAGAAAATCTCCAGAGCGATAAGTCACTCAAGTCAGTCCAAGAATACCCGATCATATTGGGTCTCTCCTTGCTCAGTGCTGGTAACTTGTTTGGTTTGTATTTGTAAACTTTAAAAATATAAAAACTATTGTGTTAAAATGACGCTGTTCAATTGTAAATCAAACGAGGAACTTGCTGGCAAATCTAGGAAAACATCAATCGCCATCAACTGGAGCCAGTATTGTCTCCAAGAACCCACAATATCGGGGTCTCCTGGCCGGACATTTGTCTCCGTCAAGTTTACAAACAACCCGGGCCGGCCATGCTTTGCCCGTCACGTCAACAAGTTCCTCTATTTTTAGTAAATCATTTGCCTCAAAACACACTACATTCTAATTTTAATCATTGCGTTCTTGTTTTATGATAAATTCGTACTTCTTTCCATTAAAAAAATGTTAGATATTTTATTTAATGTTGGTTGGGGCTGTTTGATGTCTGTAAATTAATGCGCCTATTGACCGAATCGACCTTTGACCCTCGTCTGCTAGTCCATGCTTGAAAGGAACACAAAAAGACGGGGAAACACAGGAGTCGATGGAAATGAAAGAACTGACAGGTTGGCTGGATCCGCTATAACTACCGAAGGTCAGCCTATGGATCATGCTGATATTATTAATGCCCTCAAAGAAATGGGAAGGACAGAGGACTTTGGTGGCAGTGAATCCACATCACTCGCCAGAATGGCAGACTTGGGAATTAAGATCGGCATAGCAAAAAACGAGACGCACACCAGACGACACGCCAGAAGACTTGTTAATCAACATAGAACTGGTACTATTAGCCATTGGACTTTGGGGTTCGTACAGGGGAGGATCTGAGCACCTATGGACATGTCCGAGGTGCAATGATGATAACCCAACTAACTAACTAACAATTAGACGGGGTGGGTGGGGAGGGGGGGGGGGGGGGGGGAGCTCTCTTCAGACAGCAGAAACGTGATACAGTATATATAAAAAGTTAACAGATAATGTATTGATCAACACTCATAGGAAGAAGTAGAAAGACAGAAGGGAACATAAGACAACATAAAAACAACAAAAGGGGAAAAGAGCGACATGAATGACAGAGCGCAACGAAATATTATTGGGGTGCTCGGCCAAGGAAAATCAGGCGGAAACATGGAAACGTGTAGGAAACGGCTTTTATCAATAGAATAAAATGCAATAACAGTTAATTCCAACAATGAACCTCCACACATAGCATAGGACATGCATGAATAATTATTATTACATTTGAAGGAATATTTTCCCTTTGAAAATTTAAAACAAATTAGACAAGATAATAGACTGCACAGTGTTTTTACGAGGCATATTTCCCAGTGGGGGCCGACTTGGTCTATCGGCTAGACGCTCGACTGTGGATCGGAAGATCGAGGGTTCGGGTCCTGACAGGGGCCGTACTTTAAAAAAAAAATGACCTTGTCTCCCAGGTTGACCCAGCCATGAGTGGGTTACCAGGTACAGTTCTGGGAAGTAAAGGCGACCGGCGTGATGCTGACCTCATCACCCACTAAGTGCCGTTTGGTCTATAAAATATAAGTCTAGCCCTATATACCCAATACAACAGAAGGCGTGGAAAAGGGTCTTTACTTTTAGATTTCGCTGTTTAATCTCAGATGCGTACAACAGTTACAAGTGGTTGTCGTTTTATACAGAGTTCCCCGTGTGGGTTCCGGGGCCCTGTTATAGGGTAAACAATAGACCCACTGCCTACCCAAAAGCATGTCGTAAGAGTCTACTAAATGGGAGCTTCCCTCGAAGTCGGAGTGCATCTGCCTGAGAGGCAAGGAACCAGCAGTCTGCAATACAAATGAGTTAGATCTGTAAAACGGATGCACACACAACACTCAGGTTCTGGAACAGGACTGCAGTCCAGAATGGACGAACAACAAGAACTTTCCACCGGAGTTTACAGCTGGTGAACACGAAGAAGTGGAATACACGGAGTTTGATCAACCTATTTATTTCTTTTTTTAGGGCTAACAATAGTGGGTCATCGCATACACAGGGCGTCTTATACACTAAATAATACGGTACTTCTGTTCACAGAATGGTCGTTGACTGTAAGCGGTTGTTTCACAGACGATCCCAAATGACAACAGCCAATTATCGGGAAATTACCTTTTGATGTCATTTGCGGAAGAAACCCAAGCTACAAGACGGCCTCATATCGGGAAATTCAGCGATAGCTTATTGACTATTTCTGTTTGCAGTGGGAAACAAGATACGAACGCACAATCGTTTTTTTTTCCCACATTCACAAGTGCGATTAATGCCGGTGATTATATGTATGAGTGTCATCATGTAGCAAGCCCTTTGCAGAACGTCGCTCTCATCACAGTCTGCCTGAATGAAACTCGGGTCTCTCGCCAGTTCTTTCGCCTCATGTACTTTCACACTCAAGGAGTCACTTATATCCTGTGCCCATCTTCGTGTCGGTTGGCCCATGCCCCTTCTTCTTGGTACCATGTCTTCTGCTTTAATTTTTTCCAATCCGTCGTGGCGCTTGATATGACAAAAATATTTCAGCTTTCGAGAAAGGATGCTGTTTATTAGCCTTGATACTTAGATCTTTTAAGATGCCAATATTTCTTATCTTCTTTGTCCAAGATATTCTGAGAATCTTTCTATAGCATTTCAGCTGATAAGCCCCTAATGTATGAGTGTCAAATAAATAAATAATAAGAAATAATCTGAGCATCATTGAGCATTGTATTGTATATTCTTATAGTTATTTTCTTTTACCGGGATGACCCAATGGGTCATGGGCGGGACATTTGAGTAAAGTAGGTCAAGGTCACATATATAAAAAAGGATTATGACTGGAATGGTCTATTGGCCTAATATTGAACCTTATCGCCAAATTTTAAACCGACGATTGGGCTATCCTCCGAATAACGAGCCGGAAAATATACCCTAACAGGGCCTCAGTCACGTGTCAATTGCGCACTTCTGTCGTCTTAAATAGCGCGCTTCCGGCGACTTCCGCCACCGCGAATTGGGGCTAAACTAGATGGCTACCGCATCTCCTGCAGCTTCCCTCATTTGATTTGCTCGTGACTCCTAGCCATCTAGTTTAGCCCCAATCCAGGCCTCGTGAGTGGCGTGAGTTGCCGGAAGTTTGCAATTCGGCAGTGGCGTTATAGTCCTCGGAAGAGTGCGCAATTGACACGTGACTGAGGCCCTGTTAGGGCCTATTTTCCGGCTAGATAATTTAGGACCATTATACGGAGGATAGCAGACGATCGCGTTATAATGTGCTTTTATGAGGCATGGGACTCTCAGCCCGTGGCGCTGGCGAGTGTGACGAGCAGGACCCGACCGCGTTAAGAAAAGTCTTCTACAATTATAGCATGGGATTTCAGGACCATTGTTATCAACACTTGTGTTTAGTTAGTTTCTTCTCCCGCGCTCAGCTTTCATCCTTTCTTCCGTCATCCTCATTTCCTTCCTGATGCGCTCCCTCTGCACAACACGGTCCATGGCATTTTGTTCCCATGAGTGCCCCTCAAAACCTGTATCATTTATGTCCCGCTTGCACACGCCTTTATATTGTAGTAGAGTTCGGCCACGACATCTCCCACCTGTCTTTGATTCACTGTAAAGGATGTCCTTAGAGAGACTGCCATCCTCCATTCTCTTAGGTATAACCCAGCCGTCTGAGCCTTCGTAGGCTGATCATTGAGAAGACTTGTAATACGTGTTCTTTCCAATACCTCAGTGATTGTGATCTTGTCCTGCCACTTAATGCCAAGAATTCTTCTTAAGCCTTGCGTGTGAAAGCTTTTTAGCCGCATTTCCTGGTGAGAATAAGTTGACCAAGTTTCACTGCCATAAAATAGTGTTGAGAACACAAGAAAGATAGACAAGAGTTTTTAATTGTGAGCTTTCTGTTCACTCAACTCTTTTCTCACTGTTGCTGTTGCCTCATCTATTCTGATGTTAATTTCTTGATCCAACCATGTCTTACTATTCATCACATAACCCAGATATGTAAAATGGTCAACTGGCTCCAGCTCTTCACCATCAATGTACACTGCAAGTTAGGGATGAAGTTTGTCCTCTCCATAGCATGAAGCCTGGGCAGTATTGTAGAGACCATATGTTGCTCATGCATCATGATCCATTTCTCGATCTGCCTTGTTTACTTTTGGGTAGGCAGTGAGTCAATTCTTGTTTTCCCTACAAATAGGGCCCCCAGAACATACACAGGGAAGAAAATGGTTAAAATCAACAGAAACATGTTCAAGTATGAGTAAAAACCAAAAGATAAAATTGTTAAAGAAAAATCAAAAGGTGAAACTAATAATCAAAATTCTAAAGAAAATTGCTGATTAAAACCACAACAACCAAAAAGGCAACATTTGCTTTCTATGCTATCTCCAGCAACTTCTGCTGCAAATGGGTAGTGCACTGGTTTCCAAGAGAATGTGCCAGGTTCAATCCTCGCTAGAGGAGGTAGAATTCTTGTTTCTGACCAGTTTGGCTTTGGTGAAGGAGAGAGTAAACATGTTGCCCTGTTCAGGAACAGTTTCCGGATCTCTACTAAGACATTGCAAAACCAAAAATGCAGCGACTCACAGCTCGACTGACTGCTTGTATCAGACCTGTGCAAGACCCTTCACCACACAGTACATCAAAGACACACAACATGCAGTCAACATTCTTTTCATAACAATGACAATTTCACAACAATTATAATCTCCAAGAAATCTAAGAGTCTAGTATGAAGTTTATTACCATTATTTTAAAATACACTTCGGATAAAGAGTGCGCCAGTAAGAACTTAACATTTAAAATCTTTCATGACAAAAACAAACAATAGCACTTAGTTCACTAATGAACACAAATTAAAATCTAAAATGACTCATCCATTAAAAACGAAAACAAAAAACAACTATAAAACAATAAAAATTGACATCCTTTGGTATCCATGACAAAATTCACTTGAAATCTCCTTCTATTGAAAGCTCAGGGTTGCCAGACTGCAGGTTGGCCTTATTTTTCAGAGAAGCGCAGCCAAATACATGAACTGACTTTAATCTGCAGAAAACAGAAATGGAAATAAAAATATATAGAATGAACACCAGCATAAGTGACAATTAAAACATGTAAGTAAGGTTAAAAAATGATGATCTTCTTATCTTTTAGTGTTACATTTAAGTATGCCATATCCACGGTGACTGGTCAATAACTTATAGCTAATCTCTCTGTGCTCTGACTAAAAAATTTATTATCTTCACCTGGCTCAATTTGGCCTACCAGTACCTCTGTCCAGCATTACTTCATTAGGTTTGTCTCATTTTGCTCTCTTATAATTCTCATAAAGCATGGGAAGTTTGTAGTCCTAAGGCAGCTTTTAATCATTTCAAAGATATTGGTTATTCTCCGAGTGGCTTTTAAGGCTTTATTTCAGAATAAAACAAGTACAGACCGCCTGCTTCCAACAAGCATGTGGTAAAAGTCAATTAATTAGGAGCTAGCAGATATGTGTTGGGCTGAAAAGCACAGACATGCAGCCTAGCTGTACACCTGACCTTTTAAGGGAAAACAGAAAAAGACGAAGCAAGAGAAGAAGAGTAACAAGAAGAAGTAAGAAGAAGAAGGAAGAAGAAGGAAGAGAAGAAGGAGGAAGAAGAAGGAAGAGAAGAAGAGGAGGAAGAAGAAACAAGAGAAGAAGAGGAAGAAGAAGATGCAAGAAGAAGAGGAACAAGAAGTGATAGAAGAAGATAAGGAAGAAGAAAGAGAAGAGGAGGAAGAAGAAGCAAGAGAAGAGGAAGAAGAAGATGCAAGAGAAGAAGAGGAAGAAGAAGCAAGAGTAGAAGAAAAAGAAGAAGATGAAGCAAGAGAAGAAGCTAGAGAAGACAAAGTGAGAGAATAAGAGGAAGCAGAATAAGCAAAAGAGGAAGAAGAAGAAACTGTTGATCATTGCTTTGTTAGCCAGAATGAGTTTAGGTAGTTCATTAACAACATACTTAGCCAAATGCCCAGAGGAAAGAAAGACATGAATAAATGAACAAAAGATCCAGTTCAGAAAATGATTAATAATAAATGCATCAAAGTAATTTTCCCTGATGTGAATTTAAACAAATACAATCGATAGACTGAACAATTTATGTGTGGCATATTTTGCTTTATCTTGTCAGCTGGCACAGTAATAATTTTAATAATAGGTTAGTTGTGTATCCTTTACAGGACGTTGCAGAACCAACCCCAACAGCCCCTGGCTGTTGTGTGGTTTTTCTAGGCAAATTTATGTCCAGGAGTTTGCCATTAATTTTAATAATATAAAGCAAAAAAAAAAAAAAAAAAAAATGAATCTTTATAACTGGAATATCCTCATTAGTTCTGGTAAAACAAGCATTTCCCTTTGAGAGTGCTTGATTTGTATTTCAGCTGTTAATGATTCAATTAGTTGCTACATTTTATTCAACTGCTAGGGCTTCTGTTTTCCAGAGAATGATATGCAGTGTGTTAGTGTTTGTTGGCTTTCAGATCACTGTGTTCTCTTGTCATGAACTGCTACTGTATGCTTATCTCCAACACAGGATACGTTGTGTTCTCTTGTCATGAACTACTAATGTATGATTGTCTCCAACACAGGATACGTTGTGTTCTCTTGTCATGAACTGCTATTCTATGCTTGTCTCCAACATAGGATACATTGTGTTCTCTTGTCATAAACTGCTACTGTATGCTTGTCTCCAACACAGGATACATTGTGTTTCGAGGGGTATAGCGCATAGTGTTGTTGTGCTAAGTCAGAATAGGATGACTACTTAAGGTCACAACCTCATTGATCACCGCGGTCCACTATCCGTGTAGACAAAACTTCTCAGCATAAACTGCAACTGTCTAGAGAGCAAACTCGGAAAAGAAATTCTCCAGAAAGACAAGTGTCAACCATAAAAATGTATGTGTGTGAGTGTGGGTACAATTAACTAAATGGCCACAGCCATTAAAATGTTACGGTAGTACACACCTGATGATACCGCGAAATATACCAGACTATAAATGTGATTTACTGTCCGTTTCTTCTTTGTTAAAATAAATATTACATTTAACTGTTTACACAAAGAGGTTTTCATACTGCTCACAAAAATCACATTCATTTCTTTTTCTTCTTAGAGCTTCCCTGCTGTAAACTCAAGCAGAATGTTCTGGCTGTTCATCCACTACTGGATTGAGGTCTTAATCCAGAACATGAAGTTTGCATGCACGTCCGTTTTATAGATGGATTATTTGTATGCAGACTGCTGGTTTCTCACTTCTCAGGGGGATGTACTCTGTTGGAAATATCCCTAGTTAGTCACGTTCTAAGACATCCCTGTAAGGGAAGCAGTGGGTATATTCTCCAAAATGCAGCCCGGGAACCCACACGGAGTTGAGTCAAGAAATGACATCACAGCTCTTGGGCATCCCATAAGTGCTCTATCCCCATTTTCAGCAGCCAGTGCAGAGTTCCAACACCAATGGTGCCAGTAGCCTTCTGACTGAATGTCTGTCTTGCTTTTTCTCTGAGTGTTGAGCTTCGCCCATAACCCCTCGTCACTCCCCGCTTCATCACTCACCATACTGGTGATCCATTTGCTACTTCCCACACGACCCTAACCATTTTTAACGCATCAATATTCCACCAAGTTGTGCAGAGCCAGCCAGTCTGTTCATTTCCCAACCCATACGGAGAGATTTTAATTTCACATAGCAATTTCACACACAAATCAAACCACTACACACAGAACCTGTATTACCTCGGACATTGACTTATCAAAGTAATTAGACAGGCCTCTGTCAACGAAGACAAAAAACTGAACTTCACCGTCTCAAGACGCTGGTTACAGCTGCCATCCGCAAGCTTTAGTACACTGTTGACAAAAATCCAAGTCTTACAAGTTAGTTTAGTGAAGTAAACATTTCATCGGGTATAAGATGCTAAAAACATGTATTTCAGACCAACTGGGACTTGGTGGGTGCTGTAGTCGAAATCCCGACTGTCGCCTTTACTTTCCCAGCCCTTACCTAGTATTCATTTTAGACTGGGTTGATCTGGCAGGCAGGAAGTGTTCTTCTTTTTCCATTTTTTCTTTTACCGCTTCAGGTGTCGAGGGAGATATAAGGTTCTGCTGCTTGTTCTTCTTGTCAACTCGACCAAAGACACACTGTGATGTTGAAGAGTTTCTATAACGTTACCTTTCCATCTTGTTCTTGGTCTGCCTTGTGCTCTATGTTCTTCTCCTCTTTTGTGTGTGCTGTGTATGGTATAGCTTCAAAAATCATTCTTTCTAAGTCAACGGTTTTCAACCTGCCGGTTGTGACCCTTTTTTTGGGGTGGAACAACCCTTTCACAGGGATTGCCTAAGACTATAGGAAAACACATATTCATTGAAGTTATGAATGAAAATCATTGCTTGTGGGTTGACAATATGAATGAACTGTATTAAAGGGTTGAGGCATTAAGAAGGTTGAGAGCCACCGCTCTAATTGGTGGAATATCGAAGCGTGATAAGGCAAGTGTGGTTAAGGTCTTATGGGAGCACATGTACTGCACAGCAAACTGATCATCACAGTTTGGTGAAAGTGATGCAGTGAGGAGTGATGAGCCGATCAGGCCAATACTCGACACTCAGAGGAAAGGCAAGACAGAAATATAACCAGACTGCTACTGGCACAAACAGTATTGGAACTCTGTGCTGGCTGCTGAAGATGGGGACAGAGTGCTTGTTGGAATGCCCAGAGTGCTGTGATGTCAGTACTAGAATCAAATCAACTCCAAGTGGGCAAGCCATTTGATTTGCTGTCTTTGTATTTAATTTAGAACTGGTTCTGTGCCACTTATTTTTCATATGACCTCATTTCTAATCTTGTCTTTTCTGGTCGCTCGTGCAGCCGTTCTCTACCATCTCATTTCTGTAGTTTCTAGTTTGCTCCTCCAGTCTGTTGTGAGTGAGCATGTCAGAGTGTTACGTGTGCAAAGTATAGGACCCACTCAAGCCAGTGGGGCATCAGGCATACAATGCTATATTTTTATAAACCAGTCGGGCCTAATATACAATCAGCAGACAGTTACTGGTGCCATTGGAACTGGATCTCTTCGTCTGCTGCTGAAGATGGGGAAGGAGGGCATAAGGGGGGGGGGGGGGGAGGTCCCAAATGCTATGATGATTCTCAATTCAACAGTCGGGCCTTGGTGGGAGATGTGGTCAATATTATGCCAGCCACTTCTCATTCCCCGACCTGTGGTGCCCATATTAGGCTAGGGGGATCCGGGAGCTAAGGAGTGATATGTGTACAAGGATAAATCAGCTTTGCAAGATAAAACTTTTAAAGTCAAGAGGATCTGCAAGATAAAACTTTAAAATTTAAGAGGATCTGCAAGATAAAACTTTGGATTATTTATTTGAACTGGGTTTTATCATGGCTCATGAACCCATGTTTATGGGTAACTAATAAATTGTTCACAAATAAGTATTTTGAAATATAAAAAAAAAAAAAAAAAAAGGATATAGTAAGGGTATTTTTTCCAAGATATTTTTGACACACTTATACCTACAAAGGATTTCATCACAAACAAAAAACTTGACTGCATGCTACTAACAGAGGCCACCTATGCTAGCCCAACTTCAAAGCTATTTGGAACAATGGAAGAGTTGGTCTGCACGATAGCTTTCATCAACACTACTGCCAAGATGCTTATTACTGACTGCATTTACCACATTTGTGGTGTAGGCAGAAGGGAGAAAAGGGGTCTTTAAGTCTAAGGATTCGGGGCCGCATTGCTAGTGCTGTCACCATGGACTGCAGGTCACGATTTTATCTGTGCATCTGACAGAAAAAAAATTCTCGACCTTAGTGAGGATCCAAACCTGGGTCTCCCACATGAAAGTCAAGTATAGTTTTATAGTTTATCCAGCTGCACCTCTGGCTTCCTGATAAAAGGTTTCTGACAGAAGGATAGAAGAAGAAGAAGGCAAAGATGATGAAGATGACAATGCCTCCACCGCCGCTGATAATTCTGCCACTGCTCTGATAACATGTTGGTTTTAACAAACAAAAAAGAATACTGCATTGAATAGTGCACTTCTGGTGTCAACTATTATATGTTCTGCATAAATGGCCACATCTGTCCAATAATCTTATCTGCTTTTTTACATCTGTGCTTTATCTGTTTCCTTTTTTCCACCGGATGATATTATGTGCCCTAGACATTTGAAGTCTTTTCCTTGTTTGAGTTGTTAGTTTTCTACACATATCTTGACTGGCTGTTCTGTTCTGTTCTTGTATGGCTGTCTGTTCGTGTGTGGCTGTCTGTTCTTGCATGGTTGTTCTGTTCTTGTATGGTTGTTCTGTTCTTGCATGGTTGTTCTGTACTTGCATGGTTGTTCTGTTCTTGCATGGTTGTTCTGTTCTTGCATGGTTGTTCTGTTCTTGCATGGTTGTTCTGTTCTTGAAATGGTCTTAACTTTTATTTTTCAACGTTAATTTTCACGTTTTATGTTTCAGCAGCTGATAGTCAGCAACTTAACCGTGTAATCAACTAAGAAACCAGACAGCTAGTTAATGAAACTAGCAAGAACCTCATCTCACCTGGCACCTGTACATCTGGTGGAGCTAATGTCCAGTGTTGTTAGATGACCACAGTTCTCAGCCAGATAGGTCACCCCCACATCGGTCACACTTTCACAGCCACACACATCAAGGGCACTGGGAAAAAACCAATAACAAAACCAATTAATTACAATATGATATTTCCGCCAATAATTCAACATCCGCATGTCATGGGAATTCAATATCAGGTCTGGGTCTAACATGGCTGAGCTACTGTAGGACAACAGTCAGTTTTACCTGTTCTCTGTCAATGTTGACTGTTGGGCGGCATATATCTAATCTGATATACCACACTGTGCCAATGGCTTCGGGCGGAGGATAACATTTGCTAGGATACTAGTGAAAATGATATGGCAAGGCAGACAAGGCCTTGGTTAGCAAGCTGGGTTATTAGCTGTAACAGCATGCTTTGATGCAAACATATTGATGTTACCTTTCCTCTGGAGTTAACAAGGCAGAGAGAGATATTACCTTTCCTCTGGATTTAACACAGAAGACAGAGAGAGAGACAAAGAGAGAAGAGAGAGAGAGAGAGAGAGAGAGAGAGAGAGAGAGAACCTTCATCTGGAGTTAACAAAGCAGAGAGAGGGAGAGATATTACCTTCATCTAGAGTTAACAAAGCAGAGAGAGAGAGAGAGACAGACAGAGAGAAAGGGAGAGATATTACCTTCATCTAGAGTTAACAAAGCAGAGAGAGAGACAGACAGAGAGATAGACAGGACTATCTGGAGTTAACACAGAAGACACAGAGAGAGAGAGAGAGAGAGAGAGAGAGAGAGAGAGAGAGAGAGAGAGAGAGAGAGAGAGAGAGAGAGAGAGAGAGAGAGAGAGAGAGAGAACCTTCATCTGGAGTTAACAAAGCAGAGAGAGACAGAGAGAGAGGGAGAGATATTACCTTCATCTAGAGTTAACAAAGCAGAGAGAGAGACAGACAGACAGAGAGAGAGGGAGAGATATTACCTTCATCAAGAGTTAACAAAGCAGAGAGAGAGACAGACAGAGAGATAGACAGGTCTATCAGGAGTTAAAGCACAGAGAAAGAGAGAGACTACCTTACCTTTACTATGGAGTAAACATAGCAGACAGAGAGAGGGGGAGAGACAGAGAGACAAAGAGAGACAGATTACTTTTCCTCTCAAGTTAGAGCATAAAGAGAGAGAGACATAAGGAGAGGGAGAGATCCTACAACCACACAAGGAAAGCATGCTGTAAAAGTTTGCTGAAATCAATGTGTTGGGCCAAATGGCTGGTATTGCAGCCTAACTGTAAACCACAAGACAACAGGCCAATGGCACTTTCAAGGGTGGATGCGAAAAAAGAAGAATAAGAAACAAATCTAGTTCTTCAGCATTCTGAGCCCTTAAGGTTCACTGCTAAGATATCACCTACCTCCATCTTGACGACTGTCCTCTTTCAGCTGATGACCCCAACATTTAACTGAAGTAAAAACTGACCCCCTCTTTCACACCTTCAGGCACATTGGGCTAAGCTTATATTTCAAGACCAGTCAGCACTTGGTGGATGATGTGGTCAACATATAGTAGCCATCTTTACTTCCAGAACTTTTACCTCCATTTAAGACAAAATGTATCTGGGAGGCCAAGTAATTAAAAAAAAAAAAGTCCAGCATCGTTCGGATTTGAACGCATGACCTTCAGAGCTGCAGGCAGGTGTTTAGTTGCTACACCAATGTGGCTCCTCAACATCTAATTTACCATAGGAATAATACAATATAGCACCAGACTAGGCATAAGTTTCAGTAACCCAAAAGATGGTAATAGTGTATCCTGAGAAGAAATGAATCACCAAACAGACATTGAAATAGGAAACAAATCTGGGTTCATCTGGGCAAACATTTGACATCACAGCATTTAGAGCAAGCCAATATAAGCTCTGTCCACCTCCTCAACAGTCAGTGAAGAGCCTTCATACAGATGGTACCCATTATCTGCCTAACTACTCGTCTTGTACCCGTTATGTGTCTAACTAATTGTCTTGCCTTTTCCCACTGAGTCTTGAGCAGCGCCCAGAGCCGGCAGCTACCACTTGCTGTGTTATTCTCTCTAGGTATTGTTTTTTTTTTTTTAAAGGTACGGGTCACCTTTAAACAGGTAAGATGAGCAACCCAGAAAGAGGCGACTGCTCAAAGACAACTTATTACAAACATCAGAAAGAGACATAATTTTGTGGTCATGTTATCAGAAGAGGGAAATGGAAAATGCTGACACAACTGAACATGTTGTGACCACTGGAAAGATCTGTGGAAAGAGAGACAGAGGAAGACAGTGCTAGAAGATTCTTGACAGCCTTTTGTCATGGCACTGAAGGATGTCAGCACAGGAACTGATACACGTAGTTGCGGATAGGCATGATCGCCCACACCAGTCGGTAATGCACTTGATGATTACGATGACGGGTTCTCAGTATTGTTCAAGTTACTTGCTACCTTGTTCCACAGGTGAGAGATCATCTTTGTCTTGTGTTGCTGCAGTACACCCAAAAATTGGGTCAAATTAGAAAAATTAGATTGAGGAAGTGAGGTTGCGAATAAATCTAAGACAAACAATGACAGAGGTCAACAGTGCTGGAGTAGATTCCATTCATGATATCGAAATTATTGCACATGATGGACTGGAATGCAGGAACGAAGGAACAAACAAACAAACTTTCCAAAGGGTTACAAATTTGGCAAGAAGGTCCATCTTACCCTGGACCCTTTCAAACATCTTTCACATCGCAACTGTATTTTAAATATCAAGTATACTGTATTCATACGAGGGGAAGTCAATAAGCAAGTCACAAATGTTCATGGGATGGCAGGAAAATGTAGCAGGAAAATGTAGCAGAAGTTAAATGTGAATGGAAAATGTGGTTTAGAAAACTTAGCACACAGTTCTATGCAGCAGGTTTGGGAGGACTGATAAAACGATGGGACAAGTGCATCAATGTTGGTGGAAGTTATGTTGAAAAATAAAGGGACAGTATGTGTAAAAATAAATGGTTTTCAAGTTGTCTGTATTTTTTTTTTTTTTTTTTAAACAACCTTTTGTGACTTATTTATTGACTGTATATTGAAATTCATAGTACGACTGTAAATTAAAAATACAAAAGCATGGATGGCAACTACATTCAAATAGACACGCAAAAATACACACACAAGCACAAAAACAAGCAAGGCAGTAGAACAGACACAAACACTTACACTGAAGAATGACAAAGATATCAAGATAACTTAAACAACAGTCTTACCGTATGGTGGTCTTCAAATTATCTGCAATTATCATAAGTGCAGCATCAGTAAGCTGATGACAGTTGGCTAAGACCAGGGTGTGGATGCGAGGACAGCTGACCACAATCTTGGCAATGCTATTATTTCTCAGCTACACCACAATGGGGGAGGCCAGAAATACATAATATTACCAGAAATATAATGGTTATGATGATGACTGACAACAATAGACAGGGCAAGTGTGAAAAGAGAATATATTCTTTTGACTTGTTTGGTGCAGGAACTAGTAGAGATTATGTCACTTCAGCCCTGTCTGATATTTTGATGAACTTCCTCTGGCATGATCATGACTAATATTCACCGTTGTCTGATACGTGTTAAAATCTGTGTTAAATAATTTTAAAAAAAAACATTACCTGTTATGTAAAATCTTTGAGGGCCGCGCAAGATGGGAAAAGTCTTGAATCTAAGGATTTAGGACCACACGGCTTGCAGCCATCGCAAACTGTGCAGGTTAGGAAAGGATTAAATTCAAATTCCTAGGTTCCACTGTATTTCCTAGCTTAAAGATACTTTCTTCATTCCAAGTCTAAGCTGATAAGTTCAAATACTTCATTGACCCTTTTGTGTTTACTGGTACTGAAGTGTGATCTAGTGACGTCAGCAGCTCTCATTACCAGAGAACTTGGCGTCTTGTCTGCCATCTATGTTCTCCAGATGATTCTGAAAAACCATATTCCTGCTGTTTCAGTGTCTTTGCCATCTCCTTAATCATTATCTCTTTAGCAGCTAATAGCTTTCTTTGCTCTAAATTGATTTGTATTTATTCATTATCGTGATTAAGAGGGGTGTATGAGCTGAATTGCAACAGAAAGATTCTCAAAATACAATGGACAAAGAAGATAAATAGACATATCTTGTCTTTTGGAAACTGGAATAAAGTGGCCATATCAAGCGACAGATTATTTGGGGGTAAAAAATTATAAAAGAAGTCATGATACCAGGAAAGAGGGGTAGGGGTTGCCCAGCACAAAGATGGGCTCAGGATAAAAGTGACAACCTTGGGTAGAAAAGTGCATTTGGTAGCAGAGCTGGTGAGAGACCAAGTTTCTGGCAAGCAGGCTGGGATACCAGCGATGTTCTGCAAAGGACCTGCTACATGATGTGACACGTCCACAGCACAAACGGCTCACAGTTAATTAATCCATTCCGTTCTCTCCTGTGCGTTTCTTTAGACATCATATATGGAATCTAGTTCACCACTTACAGGGCCTCCCTTATTGTTTGTCTTAGCTTTACTCTTGGACATCCTCACTACCTCAATCCATTTGTTTCCCATTTCCGTGCCATTGCTTGATTCTTTGTAAGCTTCACTCAGAATGTGTCTGATAGGCTCCATCAGATTTGTTTGCTTGTGACAATTCTTTTGTTTCATAATAATTTTTACAATCCAAAAATAAAAACAAAATGTATTAAGAAATTACTATTAGTATAGTGTGCTCCTTGCCTCAAAAAGAACTAATGTGTAGCAGCTAGTAGCTCGCCCACAGATTCAAAGTTTGTGGGTTCAAATCTGCATCAAGCCAGTCTTTTCTTAAAAAAAAAATGATCTTAGCTCCCAGGTTGACCTAGCCTAAAACTGGTACCAGACAAAGTCATCAGGGCCAAGCGATATTGAGCACACCAGTCACCAAGTGCTGACTGGTCCTAGCCCTATGTACCCAACACACACACAGGCATGAAAAGGGTCCTTTAGTTTACTTGCCTGATAATGGTGAGAACTAGATCATCAGCTGACTTCAAATGAGTGATTTCTCAAACAATGTGATCTATCTGTTTTGTCTGGTCTTTCACCACCTTAACCTCAAGTTTGACCACCCCCTTCAAACCAGACCAATTTCACCATGGACCACAGACAAAAAGGGCAAATCCCAGACATCTTCTTCAACTACCAAAGAAGTTTTTATTCAAGCACCCATAACCAGCCTGGGATCATCTGCAATCCTGTGCTGGTAAGGAGTTTTAGGTATGGAGGAACAATGTAGGTAAGACTGAGAACTGACATCTGCATGGCTAGTGCAGTTACCATCAACATGACAAACTAAAAATACATTATAACTTTGTTAACCTGGATTCGCTTAAGAATATCCAATTAATGTGAACAAAATTTGGTCCCAGCATGTGTGGGTTATTGTTACTAGTCCGGTGTTAGCATCAATGTTTTTAACACAAACTCAATTTTCAGTCTCTTAGAATTCATGTTAAATGAGGGTGCGCTGTATTATTTTTGCCTGTGAAAGAAACAATTTCCATCGTCTGACAGAATATAAAAAAAACAAACACCCTCACTCCCCACACAGAAGCCGCTCTTCTCAATTCAAATATTCCAACAATAACAAGTCTGCATAAACAAGATTGTACACTGTTCATTGTTCATTTGAACATCATCATGGCATATCGGACGACCATAAGTGCTCCAGTCTCCTCCTGAGTATGTCTCCAAGTGTTTTTAGGCTAACAACTCCCATTCTGTTCTAGATGATGTAATGACGGGTGGCTTCCTAAAAATAAGATACAAACCAACAAGAATGCATAATAAATCATCATCATCATCAACGTAAAGTAACAATGCATGTTGTTGGGTCACCAGTTGCTTCCGACACTCTGATCAGCTCCCTCTACATTTCACGGTCAGATGCCATGGACGTCATGGTTGCATGCCTAAGACCTGTCCAGTCAGTCAAGTTCTGTATCCAGACTTTCTTGGTCTGCCTCTTCTTTTCCCCTCCACTAAGCCCTGTAGCACTGTTTCTGAGAAGCTGTTAGATCTTATTACATGTCCATACCATTGCACAGAGAGCCCTGTCATTGAGACACAATGGAAGCAGAGCCAAGGGTCAATGAATAGATGGAATAGCCGGGGCAGGTAATACCTGCATCTCCACAGCAGATATAAAGGCTCTCAGCTGATGCCTCTTCAAAACCTGATACCGGAAGGTTGAACAGGACGCAAGAAGAAGAAGCAGAAGACCATGGTATTTTCCGTCTTTTCAGGCACAATAAATACAAAACAACAAAAAGACTATGAAAAGAAATAGGATAAATATCTTACGCTGTTAGAACCTCGCAGATCCAGCTCCTCCATATGTCTTAAATACGAGCATAACTTGGTGGTGGCAGTATCTGATAACTGATTTAACGATACAATATTAAATATAACGCAAAGAATACATGGGGGGAGGGGGAGGGATTTATCTCAGCCCCCTTACCCATTTTCGCAAGCTACTGGAAGTAAATTTGCCTAGAAAAACCACAACAGCCAAAAAAATGCTGGGGTTGGTTCTGCAATGTCCTGTAAAGAATACGCAGCTAACTTTTTGAAATCCATTTTCAGGGCAAGAGGTTCATTCTCTTGAACATTCACACGTAAGATAATGAATCTTAAACATTCATACGTAAGATAATCAATATTGAACACTCACAAGTAAGATAATGAATCTTGAACATTCACACGTAAGATAATGAATATTAAACACTCACAAGTAAGATAATGAATCTTGAACATTCACACGTAAGATAATGAATCTTGAACATTCACACGCAAAATAATGAATCTTGAACATTCACACACAAGATAATGAATCTTGAACATTCACACGCAAGATAATGAATCTTGAACATTCACACGTAAGATAATGAATCTTGAACATTCACAAGTAAGATAATGAATCTTGAACATTCACATGTAATACCCAGCATCTTTGGTCTTTGACAATTTTTTTTTTTACATTCTTGTTTCCTCAGTGTGTTTCCTATTTTTATGCCTGTTCGATAATTCTCCAATTGCTCACCCTCCGGATGTGCCCAATATATTACCATCTTCAGTACCTTATAACTGTTGACACCAGCGATTGTACAGAAAATTCTTTTATTTTTGTGCATTTTTCTATTTACAAGTCAGGCATATAATGATAGATAAGGATGTTTGCATTACTTAAAAACTCTCAAGGGATACAGACCTTGCTACAACTTCCCAAACAGAGGCGCCGCAACCTCCTGCAGTGCTTTCCGATGCTGACAAATGCAAAGGTACTCAGTGAGAAACAAGCATAGAGTTCCAGCGTTCGAAGGCTGAAAGAGATACAATATGATTGTTAGCATCTTTCTGTCTTTCCAGGTGTTAGTGTTCCCCTATGCAACTGGGAGGCAGGGCAGTCACAGCAAGTCTTACCAGCAAGAACAGCTTGGATTCAGAAGAATCTTCAGGGTATTCTCCCCCCCCCCCCCCCCCACCCTTTTTCGTAGGGAATTCCTAGGGAGTTCCCCAGACAGTCCCACATTATTGGGTGGGGGGCAGGGGGGTTCTGCAGCATTCTTTTCAAATTGTAGTAGGGGCTTGAACCCAGGACCTTCTGTATGTTAGGCAAATGGGATAACCACTATACTAAGAAGTGATGTGGAGAAGTAACACCAATGTTAGTCTTGGTTGAGGTTTCAACTTCACTGCAATCAAGTCATCCAACACTTGCTCCATGCCTGTGCTAGTGACAATCACATGAAATCTCCTTCACTGTCCCAGTGGAAAAACTGGTAAACAAACAGTCCCGGCACAATCCAGAAATGTGCCCATGCAGTAAATGCATATGGCACCAATGTGTTAACAAGATGAGTAGAGACTCAAAATCCAACCAACAGTCAAACAGAACAAGAAAGAAAATTTGAAGGAATCTTGTCCATGCCTTTTGGCCATTTGGAATTCATATTAACAAGGTTTTATTGTACAAACTCTTCTTCTTCTTCAGCATTATCTGCCATTCTCCCTCTATGCCCCAATTTTGTAGTCTGTTATCTGCCATTCTCCCTCTATGCCCCAATATTGCAGTATGTTATCTGCCGTTCTCCCTCTATGCCCCAATATTTCAGTCTGTTATCTGCCATTCTCTCTCTATGCCCCAATATTGCAGTCTGTTATCTGCCATTCTCCCTCTATGCCCCAATATTTCAGTCTTATCTGCCATTCTCTCTCTATGCCCCAATACTGCAGTCTGTTATCTGCCATTCTCCATGCCCCAATATTGCAGTCTGTTATCTGCCATTCTCTTTCTATGCCCAAATATTTTAGTCTTATCTGCCATTCTCCCTCTATGCCCCAATACTGCAGTCTGTTATCTGCCATTCTCCCTCTATGCCCCAATACTGCAGTCTGTTATCTGCCATTCTCCCACTATGCCCCAATACTGCAGTCTGTTATCTGCCATTCTCCCTCTATGCCCCAATACTGCAGTCTGTTATCTGCCATTCTCCCTCTATGCCCCAATACTGCAGTCTGTTATCTGCCATTCTCCCTCTATGCCCCAATACTGCAGTCTGTTATCTGCCATTCTCTCTCTATGCCCCAATATTGCAGACTGTTATCTGCCATTCTCTCTCTATGCCCCAATATTGCAGTCTGTTATCTGCCAATTGCAGTCTGTTATCTGCCATTCACCCTCTATGCCCCAATATTGCAGTCTGTTATCTGCCAATTGTAGTCTGTTATCTGCCATTCTCCCTCTATGCCCCAATATTGCAGTCTGTTATCTGCTGTTCTTCCACTATGCCCCAATATTGCAGTCTGTTATCTGCCGTTCTCCCACTATGCCCCAATACTGCAGTCTGTTATCTGCCATTCTCCCTTTATGCCCCAATATTGCAGTCTGTTTTATCCCATAATGATGGCATTAATTAGTAGTGATTCAAACATATGAAATTTTTTGTTGCTTCTCTAGTATACATCGATCTCTCTCTCTCCCTATATTTCTCTGTGTGTCTATCTCTGTGACTATCTCTCTCTGTCTCTCACTCTAAAACTTTGCTGTCTCTGTCTGTCTGTCTGTCTGTCTCTCTGTCTCTCTCTCGCTCATATCTGCCCACATAATACAATAAATTCATAAATTCATATTACCTTTTCCCATGTTTCTTTAACAGAACCAGCAAGGTGGTGTCCTTCAACGACTGAAAGCCATTCAGGCACACACTTTCAAGCCTAATAAACAAAAATATTTTTAGTTTTGATCTGTAATTAAGGATCCTGCTCCAACAAATGTTGTAGGATATTAACTAATTAGGTGTGTTTCCTTCAGAGTGCATCTGAGAGGCAAGGAAACAATAGTCTGCATGGAAATAAGCCAGATCTGCAAAATATATGTTCTGGATCAAAATCAAAGTTCAGGAGTGGATGAACAACCAGAGCTTTTCACCAAAGTTTATAGCCGGCGAAAGCTAAGAAGTAGAAGAATAGACATGGTAAAATCTCCAACAAAAACATTACCAAAACTAGCATATAGGTGAGCCAGGAAAGCTCAGAAGAAGAATAATAGATATGGTAAAATCTCCAACAAAAACATTACCAAAACTAGCATATAGGTGAGCCAGGAAAGCTCAGAAGTAGAAGAATAGATATGGTAAAATCTCCAACAAAAACATTACCAAAACTAGCATATAGGTGAGCCAGGAAAGCTCAGAAGAAGAATAATAGACATGGTAAAATCAACATTAACATTACCAAAACTCGCATATGGGTAAGCCCGTAAAAGCTAAGAAGTAGAAGAAAAGACATGGTAAAATCTCCAAAGCGAACATTACCAAAACTAGCATATAGGCGAGGAAACTGCAGTAATTCTTCTTCGCGTTCACAGGCTGTAAAATTCTGGTTGTCTGTTGGACTTTTGTTTGAGAACCTGAGTGTTGCGTGCACATCTGTCTGTTTAACAGATCTGACTTAACTGTATGCAAATTTTTGGTTTCTTGCCTCTCAGGCAGATGCACTGACTTCGAAGAAAGGCCCCCAATTAGTCGACTCACAACAAGCTTTTTTGGGGAAGCAGTGGGTCAAATCTTGTTTTTCCCACAATGGGACCCCGGCAACCCACATGGGGAACCACAGTACAAAGACAAGTATACTCACCTCTCAGCACGGCGACACAATGCTAGGAAAGACTCGTCGCTGACGTTACAAAAACTGACATCCAGGTGAGTCAGATTCTTGCAGCCGATAGCAGCTGCCCTCAAAATCTCAGTTCCAACAAGGAATCCCTGGCTGCAGCCACAGATGTTCAGTTCCTGGCACCAGAAAGGAGACAGAAGCAGTTCACATGTCATGTTATCACAGCTGACATCACTGCACATTAGGCATTCCCCACAGTTTACATGTTATGTTATGACAATTGTCATTACTGCACACTGGGCATTCTTCACAGTTTACATGTTACGTTATCACTAATTTTTCTTTCCTGTAAAATGGGGTAACAGAACCTATATTGGAACTGAAAACTTTTTTATGGTTTCTCTTCTAACGTCAGTTTAAGGCAAGAACAAGAAACTAAGGATACGACATGTACTGAGAAAGCCATAACTAGTACATCAGACGAACTTCTGCCTCCATTGGTGAGGACCATGGACCATACAGCTGCATCCATAATCACTGTATTAAGGGAACAATCCACAACCCTACACTTTGAGCAGTTTCCTGAGACAGAATGTATTTGGCTGCAGTCATATAGCAATAAGACTTGATTCTGTGTAATCAATCAAAGCTTTTACCCTGTCGCCTCGAGAAGCCATACAGCTTCAGATGTGTCGGCCGAAAAGCACAAATATTACAAAACTACAACCTATGACGGTCGCGAATGTGGCTTGCAAGGCCAGCACAAGACAAGAAAAGTTTTCCACAGCGGCTGCATGGGAATTTGGGACCATTTGTGAAAATGCACGTTGCTTTGCTTCTTAAACGCTCAGCTCTTAGTCTATCTGCTATCACCTTCTCTTTTGCCTCTAATCCCCTCCTGATCTTTGCACTCCATGCAATGTGATCTGTGGCATCCTGTTCCCATGATTTTACCTCAGTACCTGTTTCATTCATGTCCCGCTTGCATACATCTTTGTAACGAAGCAGCAGTCAACCAAGAGACCTTTTTTCTGTCTGTAATTCACAACAGAGCAGGTCCTTTGGAATTCTACTATCCTCCATTCTCCAGGTGTGGCTAAGCCATCTAAGCCTACAAAGACTAAGAACTGAAAAAAAAACTGAACACCAGCTCTTTCCAAAATCTCAATATCTGTTATCCTATTTTGCCATCTAATGCCAATATTCTTTGTAAGCATCGCATGTGAAAACTGTTTAGTCGCTTCTCTTGATACAAGTCAGTTGACCAAGTTTCACTACCATAAAAAAGAGTGTTGATGACATGCTTGGTAGATAAAGGTCTTTGTTTTAACTGTGAGCTTCCTGTTCTCACAAACTCTTATTTAATCTGCTCATTGTTGTTGCTACAGTAAACAGCACTGGTGTTATTTGTGCCTGTTCAAACGTTCAGAGGGACTGCTGAGTTGAGTTTTAAGAGCCAACATCACAGCACTCTGAATATTCCCATAAGCGTTCCATCCCCATCTTCAGCAGCCAGTGAAGAGTTCCAACTCCGATGGTATCAGTAACAGTGTGATTGAAAGTCCATCATGCCTTTCCTTTGGGGGTGGAGTGTCAATCAGATCACCTAGTCACTCCCTGCTGTATCATTCTATTCAGACCATGATAACTTAAGTGTGCCTCCTTTAGGTCTGTAAATGGAACTGCACGCACATTTTTTGTGATTGGTAAAAACAAAAAAAATTTAAATTGGCAACAAAAATTGATTTAAAAAAAAAAAAGGATTTTTAAGGGAATTCCCTAGATATGGGTCATCAGCTTTTTTTTCCTAGGTCACCATGGTTAAACGGTTAACGCCGAAAAAGCCCAAAAAAATATATAACAGAATCGATAACCAGGTCTGTGCCTACCTTAAGCTGGCGTTGGCATTCCTGGAAGAAGTAGTGCAGCCCCTCAGAGGTTACCTGAGTGCCCTGGCATTTAACCATGGCCAGAGAGACTGGTCGATGTTGAGCCATTTTTGCCAAAGCCTGGTCTGTCATTGAATACTTTGGCTTCACAGTTATGTATTTCCCTAAAAAAAAAAAACAATCTGGCTTGAAATTTGCAAAGTGTAAATTATCAACATGCATTGGATGTTTTAGAGTTTTAGATGATGAAAAATAAGTCTGCATTAACTCTTTCAGTAGCAAGGAACTCACCATGCATTCACCGGTTAAACTATATGTGGAACATATCTTTACTTTTTCTATACCATTCTTGATTTATGTTAACCTCTTGTTTTTAAGTTACTATAACACCTTCTCTCCCAAAGGTTTTGTTTCCAGTACTAAGAGACTAAACCACTGTTGCTTCAGGGTACACATATTTTGGCATAGACATTTATGCTATCACAATCGAGGTCACTTCACATTCATAATTCCCATGCATGCTCAGTCCGATGCAGCAACCACTCTGAGGTACTTCTACTAATTGTTACAATGAGAGGTCGTCTCCCATGTCTCCTATCTCAGCGTCGAAGGCGGCATAGATGTGCTTCACCATGCTTTACTCCAATGTTATGCAATTATGTTAGTGTCAGAGATTCCTCATTATTCACTAGCCCAGTCCATACAGCGTCGATGATATCTGCTCTGTCCATGCTGCTTTCCACATGCATTGGTGCATTGCTTGTCAGTTGGTCTGCTTGCTCATTACTCTTTACGCCTGCAGGACCAGGTGTGTAGATCCCGGGGAGAGAAGTTAAGTGCGATTTTCGAATGCATTCTCCCCATTTAGAGCATTGTTGCTATCTTCTGAAACATGACAATGGAGTCTGATACAATTACTGTATGTGTGGCTGTTTGCTCTGCTGCCCATGCTAGTGCTCTATAAGCAGCGGCCTATGGAATTCAACACTATCTGGGACTGGTAGGAGTTGGTTTGTGTTGTGTATGAGTTTAAAAAAAATATTTCCATGATCTCCTCAGTTCATCACAAAGCATCCCCAGCATTTATGGCTTATGGGTTTTCAGTTATAAACAAACATGTGGTCACTCCTTGCTGCATCATTCTCTTCCATGCTATGGTGATGTAACTGTGCCTCTAGTAGGCATACTTTGGATCTTTTCTCCAGGCAATGCCGGCGTAGTGGGTAATGAACAGGCAGACAGATTGGCTGGATCTGCACAACTGGGTGGTGAATTGATACATGACAAGGCAGATGTGGGAACAAACAACGGAATCAGTAGAGAAAAGATTATGGCTTGGAGAGAATGAGGCACATTGGTGTAACTAGAGGGTTTGGTCGGCTCACTACAATCAGAGGAAAGGCAAGATGGACATATAACCAGACTGGTACCATCAGTATTGGAACTCTGTGCTGGCTGCCGAAGATAAGGACGAAGCATGCATGGGAATGTCCTGAATGCTTTGATGACAATTCTTGACTTAATTCAACTCAACTATGCCTCTTCACTATCCACTCGCTCTCAAAAGGACCTTACAACATCCAGCTTGTCATGTTTCCATTTACCAACCAGTGGCGCAGAACTATCCCTAGCACATAAACCCAGATAAGTCAATAGCAATGTTAAACAAGATGGAACATATAGGAAGGTAAAGCAAACAAATTCTTCCTATTTCCAATAAGAAGATGACCATCATCACACCTGAAATTGTGTGTTTTGGGGCAAAATTGTGGGGTTCGGGTGGTGGTGGTGGTGAATAGAATAGACCCACTGCTTCCCATACAAGCATGTCATAAGAGTTTACTAATAAGGGGTTTCCTCCAAAGTCAGAGTTATCTCCCTGAGAGGCGAGAAACCAACAGTCTGCGTACAAATAAGCTAGATGTGTAAAATCGATGTGCATGCAAAACTCATGTTCTGGAACAAGACTAAAGTCCAGAAGTGGACGAACAACCAGAACTTTTGATTGAAGTTCACAGCTGGTGAACGCGAAGAAGAAAAAGAGGACAGCGCAGCAACTTACAAAGAGTCGCATCGTTTGCCAGTCGGTTAAAGTATTTCGACACCAGCATCATATTGATCAGCTCCCTATGGGACAGGAAGCGGAAAATGTGCAGCCAGATTTCATCCGGTAAACATTCCCACTGTGATATCTGACCCTCGGCAATTCGTGGCGTCTGCAGAATGTTACACACACACAAAAAAAACAAATGTAACTGACCTCAAATGATAAAAAATGCTTAAGTGAATTTTATGTTTCTGGAATTGATCGCAGAAGAAAACAATAGTAACAGTGTAACAATTTTGTGAGAGGAACACAGCACATTCATCCTTCATCTTTTTTCCCTCTCCCCTTTACCCCCCCCCCCCCCCCCCCCCCCCCCCCCCCCCCCCCCACACCCCCCCCCCCCCCCCCCCCCCCCCCCCCCCCAGTGGAGCACAGGCTCTTAACTGATGCCAAATTGTTCTATCTTTTGCTACTGTATACCCCCGTGTGGGTTCCGGGGCCCCATTGTGGGGAAAACAAGAATAGACCCACTGCCTCCCCAAAAGCATGTCGTAAGAGTCGACTAATTGGGGAGCTTCCTTTGAAGTCGGAGTGCATCTGCCGGAGAGGCAAGGAACCAACAGTCTGTATTCAAGAGAATGAGATCTGTAAAACTGATGCACACACAACACTCAGGTTCTGGAGCAGGACTGCAGTTCAGTAGTGGACGAGCAACCAGAACCTTCCGCCAGAGTTTACAGCTGGTGAACGCGAAGAAGAAGAAGAAGAAGCTGCTGTATACAGCTCATGCTTTCTCCTTTCCACCTTTTTAACTCCACTGTCTAGTAGTACCCTTTTGCATGTGTCTTGGTAAGTCTATTCTATTTCTTTGTCCCTCTGGGTTACAATGCAAAGATATTCTAGTTATGTTCTCAGGTTTTTCAGCGTGTTTCCTGTCCGATGCCAGTGTCTTTTGTTCACCTCTTGATTCATTCACTGCAACTTGTTGATCTTTGGTAAATTTATCAACAGAAAGTGGGGATGGCTTGGACATGTTTGCAGAATGCCTCAAGAGACTCAGGTGACACTTGCTGGTGGATGGTGGAGGAGGAAGTGGAGAAGATGAGGAGGGTGAGGCAGAAGAAAAGGAAGAAGACAAAAGAGGAGGAGGAGCATGAAGATGAAGGAGGAGGAACACGGAGGAGAAGGAGGGGAAAAAGAAAAAGAATAGGAGGAGGAAGAATAAGACTAACAAATATAGAAGAGAAAATTAATATTCCATTACATTTTTTTTTGTCGCAACTTGTGGTTAAAAAAAAAACCTTTAGATCAACAAATTTCTTAAAGTTTAAGGTCAACAAATTACATTAAGGTGAATATATTCTTACCATTTCAAGCAACTTCTGATAGGAATTCATGGCCACAGCTTGTAGTTGATCTACATATAAAAACATGATTAATGTCAACAGGTCAGGGGGAATAATAAAATATTGGTAACTAGGGTCGAACACTTCAACAGCCAAGGTAGTGGTGCAGTGGCTGGCCAACTTGCCTGCCAGGTCTGTGGGTATCTTTGAACCCCCAGTGAGGCAAGGATTTATGAAACATTAGCTTGGTCTTAATCACAGGAACAGAAATGAAATATCTACGACAAATCCGAAATGTAATTAGAAGAGACAGGTATAGAAATGACAACACCAGGAAAGAAGCTGAGACGGAATTAGTACTAAACTACATCAAGAGACAACAGACCAAATGGCTTGGATATTTGTCCAGACTATCACCAGACTGAAGAAGCAACAGCTTGGTCTTTAAGGTTGCTCCTCCAAACAAAAAATTCAGTTTATATTCTAAGAAGTGGGTGGAAAAAATGGTGGCTAGACTTTTTCTTAGCATTCATCAGATGTAAACTCCAATCAAAAGTTCTAGTTGCTCACCCCTTTCTGGACTTTTGGTCTTGTTCCAGAATTTGAGTTTTGTGTGCACATCCAGTTGCCATATCTTGACTTTTGTGTATGTGCAGATTGTTGGTTCTGTGCTTTTCAGGCAGATGCACTCTTCACTGCAAGGCCGGATGTGATACTAACCAAATCAACCAATGTCTCTAAAAGATGACTGTCCTAAAAAAACAGCGCCCGCCATTTTTGCAATGTAGGCATTGGGATCTTCGAACCCTAGGATTTAAGGTCGCAGTACGAGTGCTGTCGCCATGGACTGTGAGGGTCAAAATTTTATTTTGGCCCCTGACAGAAACAAATCTACAGCCTTTCGGAGGATTCAAATCTAGATTTTCTGCATGACAGCCCTGTGATCTTAACAGTTCGGCCAGCCGGCCTTTTAAAAAACATAGTACTAACACAAAATACAACTCTACCATTGGAAAATGGTTCTTTTATTTATATTAATATAAAATGGTGCACCATTATCACCACCTTGCAGTAGTGTTTATTTGTTACTTAGGACTACCAGTCAATTAAACCGTCATGCCCTTGTGGGACGCAATTTTTCGTTATTTTGAAGCCCAACCCTGGCTGTTGCCATGGGCCGCAATATCGCCTAACGGTTGAACGCGGTTTCCGGGACCTCTCCATGGGTGATCCTCATCCGCATGGTGGCACTTTGTGTCACCAGGTGTTTATCGCTCTGTGTGATGTCCTGGTAGGATAAAATTTACTTACTTACCAGTCAATTCATTCAGCTCTATCAAGTGCAACCTATTTTGTGTGTGTGTGGATATAGTTTAAGGCAATGCTATTCAACTACGTTTATTCACTGGCCAACATTTTGAAAACATACATGGTTAACAGGCCAGATGTCTGAGCCCCAGCGTAGAAAGATCAGTAATGCAATTCACAATACAACTGCCAATTATCTACTGGCCACTTGCTGGGCCTCCGTGGGCTAAATTAGGCCTGCGGGCTGCCAGTTTAATTGCCCTGGCCTAAGGAATACATTATGATACCCCTGGGCTCTCTTAGAAAATTGATTTCATTTAAGTTGTTTTTTTTTTTTGCTTCCTCAAACCATTTGTTTCATCTAGGCCTTCTGTGGTCTGCCTCTTCTTAACTCTGGAACCCTCCCTATAATATCATTCTGGAATGGCCGGTTTGTCCTGTTACATGTCCTTAGACGGCATTTTCTGTTACTTTTGTTAAAGATGGTTAACATTTGACAATGTGCTGACTGTTAATTCTGAGAACATCATCATTTGTGATGTGCTATATATGTGCTATATACCTAAGATCTCATTTCCAGCACCTTTACTACATACACTGCTGAAGTTAATCTGATGATATCTGTCCACCTTATCCCAGGTCCCTCTACTGGTACTGTTTGAAGCTACCTGTTTAGGAGAAGCATAGTTAATGCTATTGGCTGCTTTCATACCTGAGCAAACGTTAGCAGGTGAGGACAAGAGTATACTGACTAAAAACAGCATTTAGGATGTTTGTCCTGAAAGCAAAATTCATCTTCTGTGTCAAAGACAAAAGATCAAGATTCTTGTACATGGCTGACATTGTAAGGCAACATGTCAACCTTTTAACTGCTGTCTATGTATGTAAACCATTACTGATTCTATGCCAATTTATGATCACTAAGCACAGTTTTTTTTTTTAATATATGTTTTTAAAGGATGTAGTATCATTTTGGAGAATTTCTTAGATCCTATTAAATTTCCACACCACTGCATTTCCCATCTTTTCCCAGAATATAACAAAAAATATATAGCAAAACTATAAGATACACACAGATTAATTATAATGGAAAATTAAACAACAGCTTTACAACTCACAATCAGAAACTGTACAAACTGCTACAGGTGAGGTGTTCAAGAGAGCATACACCAACAACAAAGTTGGGCTGTCAGTGTCCACACAAATAAGTGACCAGCCTGGTCTCTCCTTTGTTCTGCTCTGATTCACCTCAGGCTGGACACAGCTGACTGCCAGTCAGGTGGCCTGTTGTAATCACCTGTTGTGATTACAGCTCAAACCCACTTTGTTTACAAGTTCACCTCTGTACTCAGTCCACCTTACTATCATTTCACTGCCATTTTAAAACCACTTTATTCCCCATGTGAGATATGTGACCCCATTATGGGGAAAAGAAGAGTAGACCCACTGCCTCTCTAACTAGGGGGCTTCCTTCAAAGCAGAGCTCATCTGACTGAGAGGCAAGAAACCAAAAGTCTGCATTCAATATGTCAGATCTGTAACACAGATGTGCAGCTAACAATGGTTCTGGAACAAGACTACAGATCAGAAGTGGAGGAACAACCAGAACTTTCTACTGGAGTTTACAGCTCATGAACAGGAAGAACTTTAGGGAACAGTGTATAAGGGGTCATTTCAAGCCTGCAGTTGCCAAGAGCTGTCAAATACCCCCCCCCCCCCCCCCCCCATAGTTTTGTTAACACCAGTGGCACATCAAGCATATGGAGGGCTAGACTCATATACCATCTTCTCTGGTGCTCTCCCTCTGCCTCTCTTCCTTTCTTTCCCATACATACTCCATGGCCTCCAGTACTGTTCTGCCTGTACAACTATGGTATTTAATACAGCCAAAGTACTTTACTTGAAGAGACATGACGCTGTCAATGAACTGTGTATCCTGATCTTTGATACTCAAATTTTGCAGTTTTAGCATTTTTCATTGACTTTATCTACAATATTCTAATAATTTTGCAGTATAATTAAGGTTATCCCAGTGTAGATTTTGGAACATAATTTTTTATTCATTGAAACACATGGCAGATATAATTAATTATAAAGATATTTCCCCATCTGGGGGTGGGGGGGGGGGGGGGGGGAAGCATGTTAAACTGACAAATGGGCTGTGCTAAAATTAGAAGACAAAGGCTAGCTGTACGCCACAATAGAACAAGCCAACTGTTCTTTAAAAGGAGACCACAGAAGCATAAGAGAAAGAATAAGTACACAAACAAATAAAAAATAAAAGAAATCTGTTTTTAGGGGGTTGGGGACAGGGGAAAAAACAGGTCAGACTAACCTGAGTCCTCTTCTCCGACGATATCTGTCGGAGGAAGTCTATGAAACTCTGCGCACAACAGCCTTGGTGAGTCCTTGTCACAGATGATCTCTCCAGTATGGGAGAAGCCACACTGAAGGGACTCCCTAGCTAGGGGTGATTCCGACTCTCTCAGAACAGTTCTTTCAGTGGATGGTTTCTTGTGTCTGTCAAAAATAAGTGTCTTCTTTATTGTTCGTCTTCTTCACTAGGGTACAATAGTTGTTTGTTTTTGTTAAACTTCTTCTCCAGGGTACTATGATGGCCACTGTTACATCATAGGGAATAATGGTTGTTACTTTTCTACACTGTCTACTGGGGTTGTCCCTCTTCTACTCCATGGTACAGGGGTTGTCACTCTGTTCTCTTAAAAACAACCTGTGTTTTCACCTGGTTAAATAAGTAATGAACAATTTCAGAGAATTAAGAAGATACCATCTTGCACTTCAACTGAGATTAAATAGAAAATGGCAAGTATTTTTACATTGGCTAAATTCAAATGGTCTGTCTCTACAAACTAAAGGTCTAGCCCTATGGCCCTAACATGCCAGATGGCGTGAAAAAGGTTCCTTTCCTTTTGAAAGGCCCTATCTCATAAGACTATGCTCACAATATATAAAACACTGATCCATACCAACTGTTCTATAAGGCTCTGAATCGTGGAGTACAACATGAAGCCATATTAAAAACTTCAGAACAGATTACTAAGATTTATCTTTCAACAAAAGAAATACAGTCAAGAATAAAGAGTCACAAGAAACAATTAAATTCATAATATGTTGAAATCATAATTAATTACTAGCATGATGCAGGCTATTATACTGCAATGGTTAGCGCACATTATTAATAAACTACAAACAGTAATTAACTAGTACCTATGCAGAACAGAGGGAATTGAATGGTATGATACAATCACTAACGTTGAGCTCTGGGAAAGAACTAAAGATGTTTCAATAGTTCAAGAGATGGAGAAAAGAGGCTGATGCTGGTCATGGCACACGTTGAGAAAACCTGAGGGTGCTTTATTAATATCTTACCCCAAACAGGGGACATCTACAGGTCATGGGACAGTCTAATGTTTCAGGGGGTGGTAGATAGGCTACATGCAGTCTTGGGAACTAGGCTGCATGCAATCGGGAGACCTAGGCTGCATTCTCTTGTGGGACGTAGGTGGGTTGGGGTTAGGGCCAGTTCTAGATCCTTTGGGGTCGTTAAAAGCATCAGAAAGCCGGCAAACCCAGTCCAACCACCCTCTAAAATGTTGGACTGTCCTGTGACATCATCTGGGGTAGGATATTAATAAAGAACCAACCTGAGAACAATATAACAATGTCTTTGCTCTGGAACACATGGAGAAGGGAGCTTGAGAGTCAAGTTAAAAAGAAGAGGAGGACATGGGGAGCGCGACATGTAATAGCAGAGGATAGAACAGCTTAGCATGAGTTGGTCCAGGGCCTATGCTCCATTGGGGAATAGAAGGCAGAAAGGGAAGCTCGATTTGCATCTCTTATTCCATCAAAATGGACTGAAAGAGTTGAAGAAATAACAAAATACTAAAGTACCTGGATATCTGTTGCTCACTAGCCTCTTTGTGACAACCAGATATGAGAGCATTCCTGTCCTGCCTGCCAGCGTAGGGGCCATTTCTGTGTGAGGTGGTGAGTGGGTGTTTCTGCAGACCATCTGCACAGTGTGTGGTTGGTGGATAACTTTGGAAACTGTCCCCATGTGAAATGGCTGGTGGGTAATCTTGGAAACTGTCTCGATGTGACATGGCTTGTGGGTAACCTTGAAAACCATGTGTGCAACCTTGGAAACCATCTCCATGTGACATGGCTGGTGTGTAACCGTGGTAACCATTTCCATATGACAATGTGGCTGGTGGGTAACCATGGAAACCGTCTCCATGTGATGTAGCTGGTGGGTAACCATGGAAACTATATTTCTGTGACTTATCTGGTGACTGCAGCTGTGGCCTTCCTTGGCCACGAGGAACATTTGCACTGGAAGGTCTCTGATGAAACCCTGAAATGGGTTGCCTTAAGAAAGAAAATGTTTAGTAGTTATTTTTTGAGGCAGTGAAATAAAAAAAAAATTTAAAAATGACAAATTTTGTAAGATATGGGTGGACAATGTAGAGACTGTCTCTTTTTGCAGAAGTTATGAGACTAATTCCATAAACATTAAAATAATCAACAGTTGAAGATATAACCTGTATTTTATTCAAAGTAAGCCCCCTGTGCATTGATACAGCAAGTAGCACGATCTAACAAACACTGGAACTACCTCCGTAGTTCTTCTGTTGTTATGGCCCTTTACGACCCATCAATATCATCAAAGAAGTGTCCTTAAATGGTAACTTTAATTCTGGGAATAGAAAATAATCACAGGGAGACAAATCTGGGGAGTAGGGTGGATGGTTTAGAACACACACTTGTTTTGGGGCCAAAAATTCCTGTACAACTACTGCCCTTTGAGCCGGTGCATTGTCACAAAAAAGAAACAAACTGCCAGGTGTTGAATACAAACCAGCAAGCAACTTTTTTGTGTGTGGCCCTAATCTTCCACTAAAATTTTACAAATAGTCTCTGTATTAACACCAAATTTATCTACTATCATCCTCACAGTCAAACAACGATCTTCTTGTATCCGTTCTTGGAATTTTGCAATGAGTTCTCATTACAAACATAAATTGGGCGTATAAGTCTAGGTGCCACTTTTGAATCGTTAATACCAGCTGAAAATCTGTGCAGGATTATCCCCATAAACTTGTTGCATCATTCAACTGTTGCAATGGCGCTTTTTCTGAGTTTTAAACATAATTTAATGTTAGCTTTTTTTTTCTTTTTTGCTACATGCTGATTACGTATCAATGCACCTCTAACTAGATTAACAAAATGGCTGCTTGTTTGTTGTCTGCTTATCGGGTGTCGATGAAAAGTTGCCATATCATATCATAGACGAAGGCTGCCTCCTTGGATTCCTGAGATTCATAGATGGCACTTTTGTCTTAGCCATAACAAAATTAGCCTCATTACTTAATTGTCGGACCTTGTACAATCTATATAAATAATGGCTAGGCTTAAATTCTTACTAGCTGAGACAAAAAAACATGTTATAAAAATAGGACATGACCACGGAGAACAGCTAAGAACTAGAGTAACTGGAAGCAACACAAAATCTGCAGGCAGGAAGTGAATAATGTTAAAGTGAAGACTCTGTGTGTGTAAAGTTTATAAGTGAAGGAAAATAGTCTAAAGGGCATTTAGTTGAACAGACCTGGAGTGGCAATCAATCCTAGTGAAGGGACAGCAGCGAGAACTGTATGTATAAACCAGCCAGCTAATGTGTTTCAACTTGTGTGAAAGGACAAGTGTTTGAATGTGGACTAAGAAGGTTGTAAGTACGTCATGTTTATGTGAAGTATGTGGCAGTTAAACATGTGAACATTCTCTATGGCTTAGGACTTCATACAGGTGGACTGATTGCTGATGTGCATCACACAAATACTGTTGAGAAATGCTGAGTCCTGTTATAAAAGACTGTCAGGTGTCAACATTCCTCTTCTTCTTCTTCTTCTTCTTCTTCGCGTTCACAGGCTGTAAACTCCTGAAGAAAGTTCTGGTTGTTCGTCCACTTCTGGACTGCAGTCCTGTTCCAGAACCTGAGTGTTTTGTGTGCATCTGTTTGACAGATCTGACTAATTTGTATGCAAACTGTTGGTTCCTTGCCTCTCAGGCAGATGCACTCTGACTTCGAAGGAAGCTCCAAGTTAGTCAACTCTTACGACATGCTTTTGGGTAGGCAGTCGGTCTATTCTTGTTTTTTTCTATAATAGGGCCCCGTAACCCAAACGGGGAAGAGAACATTCATCTCAGGACTGATATTTATTTGTAGCCACCACAGTGAAGTACAAGGAGATACAAAGCACTCAGATGGAATCAGCGCAGATTTGGTCAGTCATACTGACCATGTCAACTCCCTAGAACATTTCCTAGTACCCAAAACAATTTTTTGAGCTTGATAGCGTAGTGGCCGGATGCTTGTCTGCTGGCCCGAAGGTCTTGGCTTCAAATCCACAAGAGGCAATTTGGAAAAAACAAATCAAACTCAAGCATGGCTCCCAGGTTGATGCAGACTAAAACATCAGGCATCACGTATAGTCCTGGGAAGTAAAGGTGGCCAGCAGGATGTTGACCACATCATCCATCAAATGCCAACTGGTCTAACATAAAATCAATCTAGCACCATAAAACCTGATGAGCTATTGGTATAAAATGGGTTCTTTACTTTTACTTTACAGCAAATTTGTTGTTTTTGATTTTAATTCATATCGATAAAGATTTAAATATAACAGTGACTGGGCTGACAGGCTAGCTAGTGTACTAGTGAAGATGGGAAGACAAAAATAATTAAGTGACTGTTGACAGGCAGTGAAAGAAGAAACAAATGGGCTGAGGAATTTCCAACAGAAACCAATGAGAGAGGCCAAAGGTACTGGAATGGATTCCATACAAGATATCAAAAGAACTACACCAGACAGAACAGAATCGAGGACTAGACTGCGAGCCCTATGTGGCGTCAAGGTAAAGGTGAGAGGATTTACTTCACTGCACAGGATTTTATCCCACACGACCCGGTCTCTCTCTGCAGAACAGCTAGCTGCCTGCCGACAGCATCGCTCAGAGCACGATCTCCAGAGTTCTGGTGACGATCTCTAGGGATCTCCGTCAAAATTGCACTTGTGAAGTGAGCGGCACGGCCGTGAAACGAACCCCTGACCTTGAAAGCGCGATGCAAGAAGAGGAAGAAGAAGAAGTTAAGCACCAAAAATAAAAGACAGCTGACAGCACACCAGATAAGACAGTAATAACCTCTGCTGAGTGCCGGCACTAGATGGTCTCCTTTGGGCTGCTGCTACTGAATATCCACTCTCTCCTCTCACTTTTTGTCGACTGCGACCAACATGAGTCAACACAGGGGCTCGACCGGCTCCCTTCCGAGGTATAACCTGAGAGTTGCCTAAACTTGACCTTTAATTGGAAAGTAACAATTCGATGTAATAAAACATACCTCTACTCTGTGATAGATTATGATAATTATGTCGTCAAGTCTTTCTTCAGTCTAACAGTTTTTTTCATCAGTCAGTCAACTCTTTTACCAGTTAGTCAATTATTCTCATCTGCTGGTCCATTCTTTCATCAATCTACCAATTATTCTATTGTTAGTCAAAACTTTATATCAATAATTCTCCAATATTGATCAACTACTTTTACCAGGCAGTCAATTCATAACCCTGGTGGTACACTATTTTATTACGTCATCAATTCTTTTCACTATATGGTGTTCAAATCCTACCCCCAAATGGTCATATCTTATATTGAGATGGTCAACTCTTATTATGATATGGTCAACTCCTAATATCATACGGTCAACCACTATCCCGATATGATATGGGCAACTCTTAACATAAAATGGTCAACTCCTAACATAATACGGTTAGCCCGCAACCTAATATGATCAACTCTTACCATCAAACGGTAAACTCCTAACATAATATAGCCAACTCCTAACATTCTTCCATGAAACGGTTGATTCCTACCATCAAATGGTCAACTCCTTTCATGAAATGATCAAATTCTATAAGCATAGGGTTAACTCCTAACAAAACACGGTCAACTCCTACAATAATATGGTATAATCCTAACACCATTTGGTCAACACATAAATTTCACAAAATGATAAGAATTTTTTTGACATTATTAACCAACCTGGTGCTGAGCTCACGTGGGTTGTAGGAGCTCCAAGCAATACTTGACCTGTTCCAGTGCCGCTGATATCTGGCCGCACCGCTCATAACACCACCTCGATTTCTCTCATGATGAAACGAAGCTCCTGATTGGCTGAAGGACGGCTGAGGTGGAGATGTATCAGCTGCTTTAATTGGATGAGACTGCAATGACTTGGCAAATGGCACCTTTTTATGATTTCTAATTGGCTGAGTATTGTTATAAGATTTTGCAGGGTTAGAAAGATTTATTTGCTTGTCAAAATCACTACTTGCAGGAAAATCCCTAACATCCTCATCAATTGCTTCAGCTTCTGTCTCTTCACTGTCATCATCATCATCATCATTATCATTTCCCTCATCACTAGAACTTTTCAGATTCAATGCTGGTACAACTCTGCTTGTAGGTTGAGAAGAACTTTTCTGTGTTTCACTGTAACTAAAAATTTCTATGTCAACAGCTTCTCCTCTCAGCTTTTTCTTTTTCTTTTTCTTCTTTATCATCTTCCTCTCCTCATTAGAAGCTTCAGCTTGTAGATCCCTGTTCTTATTGACCTGGTGCTGGTCAGAGCTTGACTGGGTATTTCCATCATTGATGGTTGTAACATGTGCAATAAATGGCTGCAGCAATGCATCATTTGTTGCTCTTCCTTTGTCAGGAGCACAAGATCTGCGCGGTGGTCCTGGAGCTGGGAGTATGTAATCAGAAGTCATGTCAGACACTCCAACGTTAAAACACAGATTTGGGCCAATTTCTTTTTTCCAAGGAGCGGAGATGAAGTGTTTAACATCACCTTGTGTAGAAACAGTTGATGTGGAAGAACCTAATGTAGCAACAACTGATGTTGTAGCAGCTGACGTAAAAGCAGGAGATAATGTAGCACTTGAAGTAGCAGCTACGAATGTAGCAACAAGGGATGTGTCAGTAAGCGATAAATCCGCATCTTGCATACTATCCATACTACTAGCAACTTTTGACTTCACAGAGCACTTGTTGGATGTTCTGTGAGAAATCTGAACTGAGTTATTCTGCTGAAGCAGCTGTCTTTTTCTGTAGGAAATAGCAAATTCTCTTATCAGTGGATCTTCAATCTCTTCCAAAAATCTATGATCTGTTTTAAGATCCACATCATTAACACCGTCTTCTTTATCATTCTCAACTAAAACAGCATCTTCCTCATCACTAAATGCTCCTTCTGGAAGCTCCTGCTTGTCGTCGCTCTTCTGTTGTGGGTATTCATTCTCCCTCCGTTTACCTCTGGATAAGGCAGAGGTAATCTCTTCTAACCCAAATTGAACTGGCAAATTTAAAGGAGACCGATCTCCTGAAGACTCTTTAGACCCTTTTCCAGAAAATTCTTTGTCTGCACACTTTGTATTTGCTTCTTTTACTTCTGTATCCTGTAGACAATGTCTCCCTTGGTTTGGCGCTGGAGTATTTACTGCCTTTTTCTTCTGCTGTGAGCTAATAACCTGACTATTGTTCTTGTGGAATGTAGGCTCAATGCCAATAAGCACCTCACCACAGACAACACACCAATTCATGTAAGCTTTATTCAAACTACTGCATTCAGGGCACTGCTTGATTCTCTTTAAAAGCTCTTCAGCATTTCCTGAAGCATGAGGAAGACCTCCTGTTTCATCCACCACCCTCAGATGCTTTAAGTGATCTAAATCGATATCAAGGTCCTGTAGTCTTTGTGTCAAACCCCCAATCTTCTCCACAGATGTCCTAGTAACATCTGTTAATGCTGTTCTTGCATCATCGTTGGCTACAGAAGGGTCCCATTCAAGTTTGTCAGTGGACGTGACAGTTACATCATCTCTGGAATCAAGTGACTTATTGCTGTACATCTCCAAGGATGAGAAATACTTCTGTGGTGTGTAGTTCTCTGAACTTCTGTTCTCTGGCTGGTGTTTTGGACTTGCATTGGTATTACCATCAGGCACACCTCTGTGAAACAAACACATCAATACTGTTTAGTGTTATAATAAAAAGAGAATTGTTGAAAAAATAAAAAAATGACACCCCTGTATGGGTTCTGGGGCTCCATTTTTGGGGTGGTGGGATAGGATACAGATGAAATGGTTTGGACATGTGTCAAAACTGTGACCAGGCAGTGCATCACAGAGTGTCACTTAGACAAAATGGAAGCAGAACTAGAGATCAACCAAGCAAGGGATGGACAGACGGAATAAAATCATTTAAAGGATTTTTAAAATACCAGCATCTACTTAGTACCTACAACCAGATGCCTCAGTAGCTGTAAAACTACATCACAATGTACTGCTCATGTTGTAAGGGTGTATGCATTAAACAAAAATAAGAAAAGGGAAAAAAAGGAAGAATAAAGTAGAGACAGGTGAAATATTCTGGCTTCTTTACCTGACAAACTCTTATTAAAACCATAATTATCAATCATTCTACATTAGACATATCTGCCTGGTTAAATAACACAACCAACCCTACTGTCACACAGACAATGGTATGTACAAACAAAACAATCAGCCATTCTACAACACAGATACTGACACAGCTAATAAACACTATCAACCATTTTACCTGAAAGACGCTGATATTTTCAAATAACACTATTTGCCATTCAACCTAGGACACTGACATGATCAAATAAAACAATTATTCTTTCTACTAAAGATATAGTGATTTGGTTAATTAACACTATCGATCACTCTAAAAAAAAACAAAAAAACAGTGACATGGTTAAATAACACAATTATTCTTTCTACCATACATATAGTGATTTGGTTAATTAACACTATCGATCACTCTTTAAAAAAAACCAGTGACATGATTAAATAACACAATTATTCTTTCTACCATACATATAGTGCTATGGTTAATTAACACTATCGATCACTCTAAAGAAAAAAAAAGGGTGACATGGTCAAATAACACTATTATCTATATTAAACTTTTGACTACAGATATTGACACAACTGACACTACTAACCGATCTGTAAACAGAGACATCTACCTGATCAAAAGCACTAACAATCATGCCACCACATTCTCCACACACAAAAAACACTCAGTAAAAGACCCATACCTGTGAGGAGAGACATGTGGCTCAATCCTTGGCTGTAGTGCTGGTGGAACAGGAGGTGGGTGTGGAGCTCTAACAAAGTGACTGCCTAATAAAAAGCCTGACTGCACCTAATGAAATAACAGATAACTCAATATGTGAAACAAGTATTTTACTTAGGAAAAGCAGTCACATCCCACATAGACTGAATTCTGAAGAGGACTGGCCCCTGAAGCATTACTTACTATACAAATAAGCACTTTAGTTTTTATTGTTTAAAAATGGCAAGAAACTTGCGACAGATGCCAGTATTAGCTGTAACTTTGTATACTGTCTGACTCCAAAGGCAATCTTCTTTTTAATTTGGTCTTAAAAAGGAGATTGGTATGTTGTGTTGCTGTTTACAGCTAGGCTGTGATATTTACTCTTTTGGTCCAACAGTTCAGATTTTAGTATACCCCTAACTAGTCACCTTTTGTGACATGCCTGTTAGGTGAAGGTGTCAGTTCTTGGTCAGATGTGGCTGGGCTACAGTAGAACAGTAGCCGGTACCGCCTGTCCTCTGTTACGAGGAGTATTGGGCGGCATATACCAAACCTGACATCCCATATTGTGCCAACAGCTTCAGGCGGAGGAGCGCATTGGGGAGGATACTAGCCTTATCCTAGGAAGAGGAAATGCAACCTGAAAACTTTATTTTAATGGCAGGGCAGACAAGACCCTTAGCCTTGGCTGGCAGCTGGTCTAGGAGGGAAGCTCTGAAAGGCAGACATCTAGAGCACTGCTCTCCTGATCTGGCAGCTTCTGCAACCTGCTTCATTCCAGTTGTACTGTGTTACCTTTCCTTTGGAGTAAACAAGGCAGATCAAGGAAGGGATCATGATGCATGGGCAACATGTGGTCTCTACAATACTGCCCAGGCTTTAGGCATTATGTTGAGGGTAGTGGATCTATTCATTATTCTCCAAAACAGACCCCTGGAACCAACACAGGAACATGCCAGATGTAATGATATAAAGATTCTTATGAAAGTTCTGCTAACCTGAGCGTTTGGACTTCCCAGCCGTGAAGCATCCTCTTGCCTGGCAGATGCTGGTGATTGGTACTGGGGTGCAAAGCCGTGATGTTGGACATACTGAGGTACTGGAGGTGGTGGCGGCAAGTGAACAGGAGTCCTATTTAAGAACACCGCTCCTCTGTGTGGATCAGGGTAGACAGACGGAGGGTAGAAATATGCCCCCGGAGATTGCTGAAAGACATTGGCCGAGTGGCCAGGTAAAACTGGTTTATAACCTGTATATTTTTGGTTCAAATCCTGGCAGTACTGCTGAGGGTTGGTGGCTGATCTGTACTGTTGACTGTAAAAGGGATGTGTCCCATTCTGAAATATAAAGTGGGAAGAGGGGCTGCCAGGAGAATGCTGAAAGAAATGTGGATTATTAAAATGGGGATCAAAATATAAATGAGGCTGGGGTGGTGGAAATGAGAACATGTTATTCTGGTTCACTGGCAGAGGAAAGTGAAAAGGAGGCCCTCGGCCAGTATCATAGTATGGATAGCTGGACTTCTCAGGTGAATGCTGTGAGACTGCTTGTCTATCCTGCCAGGGAAATGACACCAGTTCTGGGTCTGTGTGTTGCCTTTCTGAATAAACAGTCCTGTCACCAAAAGCTTGTCTGTAAATTTCTTCAGATGAGAAAGAATGTTTTGTAGTTGTGGGCACTGTAATCTGGTCGTAATTTCTTGCCAAAGTAATATTTTCATTCTCACCTTCCCTCAGCTGTTGTAGATTTCTTGTGATGGTGCTGCTCGTTAGAAAAGGAGTTTCACAATCCACTGGATTACAGGAGGATACAGCTGAGTGTTCTTGGTTCCGAATACTTGAACTCTGTACAAGTGATGAAGCAGAAGACCTTCTAGTCCTGTCCATAACTTCACTTGTAGAAACAGAGTCCTCTCTGTTTAGCTTATCCACATGAAGAGGGTTTGATCTTCGTCCATTCAGCTGCTTCAAGTCTCTAGCTACATTCATCATGATGTTTCGCAGCCCTTCTTCACCAAGAACATTTTTGATCTCATCAGTAATTTTCTTGCTGAAATACCCATGGGTTTTTATCTCCTCTTGTCCAGAATTGGCAAAGCTTAAATTGTGTAAATGATCATTATTGCTCTGAACAATTCCAAGCTGTAGATTAGGATCTTCTGATGAGAAATCCACAGACACGTAAGGTTGACTACCCACAAGCACCTCCTGATTCAAGTGGCCATGATGGCCAGCATTTGTTTTAACGTCACAATGTCTCTGAGAGAATTCCTCTGCCAACTTCATACTTTCTAATGACCAGCACTTAGGTCTTCTATCAACATGAGAACCGTCTGCAGAGAGATAGTTTCTATTTTGAGTGATATCATTCTCAGACTGTGAATTGCTGATGTTGAACTGTACGGGTGTCCCCCCTACACTGAGTTCCTCAGCTGTCTGCAAAGACTTGGCTTCAGATGGTGACACTGGATGTGTCTGCTGATGTGTAACTGCAAAGTAAGCCAACCTCTTCTGTCGTAGCTCCTCTGTAGATGGTGCAGAAATATGGGCAACACCTGCCATCTGATCCAGCATCTTTGTCGGATCCTGGTTTTAGAATATCTGAAACACAAGGTAAACAGTAAAAGTTACTGTCAGTTATGAAGACATAGCAGGAAAACATTGGCTCTCCTTTGAACTTAGTCCCCATATTATGGGGGCCAAACAAATACCCTAACAGGGCCTCAGTTGTGTGTAAAATGCGGACTTCCTCCGACGAACACATCGCGGCAAAACTAGGAATACTGTCCCTTGACAATTTTGAGAAATGCAACAATACACACGCGATAATAGCGACAAGCGGGGAGACCACACGCTATGAGGCAGGATAACGATAGTGTTCTTCTGATTAAACTCACTGCCGAGCATATCCCCCGTGCCGCTACGCGTGGCACGGAGGGGGTGGTTTTAACTAGATGGCTGGGACTCATGAGCAACAGCTACCGCATCTCCTGCAACTTCCTCCAATTTATTTGCTCGTGAGTCCCAGCCATCTAGTTTAGCCCTCCAATACAAGCTGCACGCAGCGGCATGGGGGATACTGTTGGCCGTGCGGCATAGTCGCAGAAAAAGGTCCGCAATTAACATATCGCTGAGACCTTGTTAGAGCATTTGTTTGCCCTCAATAATATTGGCCCGTTATTCGGAGGTGATCCTAGTTTTGCCGCGATTTGTTCCTCGGCAGGTACTCCGCATTTTACACACGACTGAGGCCCTGTGAGGGTATTTGTTTATCCACCATAGTATGGAGACGAAGTTCTTTGGAGAGTCAAACCATTTTCTAATAACAAACTCATAACAATATTGTTCTTCATCTTCCATGATCACCAGAATCATAGATCAGGTCTTATCAACAGAAGAAGAGAATGATCAAATCAATCAGAATGCCACCGAAACTGGCACAAGATGATTACCAAATTATGGACAGACCAGAGCAAGTCATTATCCTTCGCCTTAGAACAGGGCACAATCGACTTCGCTCCCACATGTACAACAAATTTAAGATTGGCCAATCGGCCATGTGTACTTGTGGACTGGCACCCGAAACAACAGATCATATCCTCCAAGACTGTCCCAGATTCAACACTTTCAGGCAAAACCTTTGGCCAAAAGAGACACTTGTGGAAGTCAAACTTTACGGGCCGCTTAGTGAATTACAAAAGACAGTGAAATTCATGCTAGAGACGGCTTTGCAGATATAGACAATTTATTTCATGCGAACGAAAGAAGAAGAAGAAGAATAGATCAGGTCATCAATAATGTCTTAATCATACTATGTGGACAAGCCATCAAAATACAATGAGGGTTCAAATGAAAACATTTAAAATATGAATAACCAAGCCATTGTATTGTAACCCGTCAATATTGTTGTTAAAGATGCCAAGAATCTTAAGCATGTAACATCATTGTGCAGAGTAACATGGCGTGGATTGGGGCTAAACTAGATGGCTTGGACTCACGAGCCAAGCTTCAGGAGATGTGGAAGCTGCTGCTCGTGGCGGTGACAGTAGTCGCCAGAAAACCACAGAACCGCAAATTAAGTCAAAAGAAGTGCGCAACTGACACGTGACTGTGGCTCGAAAGGATATTTTGCGGCCGCCATCTTTACCGACTGTTATTCGGAGGAGAGCCTACTCAAGAATTCCTACATGCGTGCGATTACGTGAATATGCTAAAAAATCCACACACAAAATCCAGCTTAGCTTTACGAGTAAAGAATGGATTCTCTCATTAAATGCATCAGGACCGGTCCTGGCACTGGACAAGAATCATGTGAGTGATTAATGCTATGCGAGAAAAAAGAAAGTTTAGAAAGATCAGGACAACAAGCAGGCAGGTAACTTTAGCTGTGGAGATTAGGTTTTGTTTTCTATTTAATAACGTTTATTTATAATCAGTTAACAGAATGTTTCTTAGTATAAACAATAAATAAGAATTCCCCCTAATGTTGGAGAAAAGTCAGCCTGTCATTACACTATATTGGTGTTCGAAGAATGACTGTCCGGCGGCTCAGTTTCTTGACACAACTCCATGTTTGTATCGCCATGTTTGTTTTATCGGTAGTTAGGGGAGAAGCCTGTGTGGATTTGTGTACTTCACGAAAAACTCTGCAGGGTATCTCTTACCCTCTTTTCTTATCCTTATACTGAGCTCGGATGGGAATGCTTCCATCGCTGTGATGTCAATTCTTGACTGAAATAAACTCACCTCTAACCCTTTTGATGTTTCGTTCGAAGTCGGAGTGTATCTATCTGCCTGAGAGACGACGATGAGCTAACATTCTGCACAGAAATAAGACAGATCTGTAAACAGATGTGCACGCAAAACTTAAGTTCCAGTGGTTCATCCACTTTTAGTCCTGTTTCAGATCTAGAGTTTTGCGTGCATGTCGGTTTTACAAATTTGGCAAAGTTGTACGCAGACAGCTGGTTCCTGGGAACAGGCAGAACATCTGAGTCTAAACAGGGAAATGTCATTATATAAACACGCAAATTATAACGACAGTACAGGGTGGGAGGGAGTCGCCCTGGTGTAGCGGCTAGACACTCACCTGCGGATCGGAAAGTCATAGGTTCGGGTCCTGATGGAACCAGAAATTATTTCTTTTAAATGACGCAGCCTTGTGTGGATACCATTTGCAACCTTGGGAAGTAAAGGCGGTCGGTGTGATGCTTACATCGCCCACGTAAAGCCAATTAGTAAAAAATATATATGTCTAGCCCTATATGCCCAATAAGCCTGAAGGTTTGGGAAAAGGTCCGTTACTTTTTAATTTATTAAGTGAGAGGAAAATGTTTGCACCAGTCTTACATTGCTGAGCACAATCTTTTTCAGGTTTCAAATTGGTGCTTTATTAATATCCTACCCAAAACAGGGAAAATTCACAGGTCACGGGACAGTCTAATATTTCAGGGGGTGGTAGATAGGCTGCTTGCAGTCGTGCTAGACAGCATGTAGTGGTGGGACCTAGGCTGCACTCTCTCGTGAGACGGGTTGGTAGGGGTTAGGGCCAGTTCTAGATGTTTTGGGGTCGTTAACAGCATCAGAAAGCCGGGAAACCCAGTCATACCACCCTCTAAAATGTTGGACTGTCATGTGACGTCATCTGTGGTAAGATATTATTAAAGAACCTTCAAATGTCCCACTGTAAATGCATCTACGTCAACGATGAAACAGTCACTTCACAATAACTAGGGTCATTTTCGGCAAAATGTTCAAAGCCTTTATCTTTATAATTATCACACACAGACACACACACCACACTGACATAAAACAGATATCAGTAACTGATTATCAAAACCACTTACCACGCAATGTATGTAAGATAATCAACAAAACAGAGATTACACTCACACGAGCAACACGCACCAAACAATCTCAAACAGTGATGATTGTTCAGAAGAATGTCTCCGCAAATGTGATAATATTATAGAGTCATCGAACTGAGTTTGAAATTTCACTTTTGCTTCTGTGTGATCAATTTCTCAGGCTTCTGGTGGAGTTACGTATACACTTGTTATTCTGTTTTCTCATTAGCGCGAAGGTTTATTATTGTGCTTTATCTTGTGAAGTTTTAAATATGAATAATGTACAGTATTTGCAGTTAAAAGTCGTTTTAGTTGAATATATAAATAGTTTATTTTAGATGGGTGGGTATAGTAAGGTGTCATTATAGTTTATTTGATTTTGACAATGATTTTATAATTTTTTTTTCAGTGCCAGAAGATTGTATGGGAGAAAAGTGAAGTGGAGTTCAATGTGGCAATATTCACAGTAGTGGTTGCCAGTATTTTCGTATGTTCTGACCAAATAGAAAAAGGGATAGACCACATTATTTCCACATTATTTTATAGAGTGAAGTGAGATTTAACCCCACCAGGACATCCACAAAGTGAAAAACACCCTATGACACAAAGTGCCACCACGGGGATGAGGATCACCCGGGGAGAGGTCCCGGAAACCCAGTTCAGCCGTTTGGCCATATTGAAGGCACGGCTATATCTAGGGCCCCCGGCCCCTGCTTTGAATCAACGAGTTAAATTACCATATCTATGAAGAGTTTATTTTTTGGGGTCATAAAAATAAATACGTGTTTTAAATTTGTCATTGTTATTTTATAATTATTATAAATATAAGTATTTTTAATTTTTTAAATTGCATTACGATAAGTAATTTAGGTTTGCCGGTTTGTGAACTATTTCAATAACGTAATTAACATTCTGTGGATTAATTTCCCTGTTGATGCGAGTCAAAAATCAGTGTTTTTCTTTGTCACATCGAATATTCAACATTTAATTGAAGGATGAGCTTCAGAAACTGGGTATGTATGTTGTCATTTAAGCAGTAATGCGGTACATATAATTACGGACTATACGTGAGTGTTGGGAAATTAACAGGCGGACATACTGGCTGGTTCTGCACCAATGGGTGGTGAGTTGATGCGTGACAGCTAGTTGTAGTGAAGGTCATTTGGGGAGCAGATGAACAATGAGGAGGCTGCAATAGATCATTATGGTCTGGAGAGAATGCTTTAGCTAGGGGGTCTGGTCGACACTCTAAACTCAGAGTAGAAGCAAGGCGGACGTATAATCAGAATGCTACTGGCACCATATGAATTGGAACTCTTCACTGGCTGCTGACGATGAGGACGGAACGCTTTTAGATGTCCCAAGTGCTATGATGTGAGGTCTTAGCTAAACACTCAACGGTACGGGTGGGGGGAACAACTTGGTGGTTCGGGCACTTTCTGCATGGTCCACAAACGTGCAAGGCGCCTGAGTTTACTCTCCTGGATGGTTTCTTTGTGTCAACCATGGCGATATTGTATGTTTGAACAGAATGTCCCCACCTTTTGCTCAACTATATATATATATAGGAGTTCTAAGCCCCCCCCCCCCCCCCCCCCCCCCCCCCCCCATTTGAGCGCCAAGACTTGAGCGCCTCCACCTAATAATTTATCTGCGGCTGCTTCCATGGGGAAAGAAAAAAAAATTACGCCGGTCTATTGCACGTTTTTTTTTTCTTTGGCGAAGTAGACGTTCCCACCGGTGGTTTCGGCCAGCTGTTCGAGTTATCAATCAGTCAGTCAATAGATCAAACAATCAGCATGACCTTTACAGAACGTCTCTCTCTCTTCGCGGCACACTCGAAAGTCTCCACTTCTCTAACCAATTCTCCAGCCAGACGTTTCCTCATTGGCAACACAACTTTAATATCCCATATCTAAATTCATAGATGTTGATAGCTGCCTCATTTCCCGGAGACTGCACCATTCCTTCTCCCCCACCCCAATCCTGGTAATCTTTATACCACCATGACATGTCCAAAATACCCCAGCTTTCGGGAGAGGATGCTGTCTATGAGCCAGTTCTCCTTCACATAATGCATGGTGTCGACGGTTTTCTTATTCTTGATACTCATTATTCTAAGAATTGTTCTGTGGCATTTCAGTTTAAAAACTGCGATATTCCTCTTTAAAGACTGAGTGAGAGGGCAGGACTCACATCCATAAGTTGGCACGGGAAAGATGCCCGATCTCAAAATCTTTATATTTACTTGCTACGTGAAACTATACCATAGGGGTCATGCTATAGATAGTAAATAACTATTGTGTGTCATATTCTGTATGGTCAACATACAACACTCAGAGGTGGTCAACATTTAGAGGTAATTTCCATTTAGAGTATGTGGCGAACAACTTTTCAGTGAAAATGAGGTCAGCTTTCTGAGGTGGTCAACATAGTGAGGGGGCCCACATTTAGAAGTTCTATTGTACATAAAAATTATTATTTCTTTATTACGCTCTAAACAAGGCTCAAGTCCCTTGAGTGCCTCTTACTGTCAAAGGATGCTCCCCGGAACGCCCACACACACACCTAGAGTTATATTTCTGTTGTCGCCACTGATATGCTATGTGTGTTATAATGTATGTTTCAAGCGGTGAGTACAAGATTTGGGACGGACTGCAAAAAGAGGTCAAGAGAAGCTTCGATCGTTTCTAGACCTTTCAGTTAAGATCAAAAGGGTGAATAGGTAATTAAAACTGAAAACTAAATTGACCCACTGGCAGAATCAAACATTTAAAGACAATTGAAATAGCAGCCTTTGTAACCATATATTTGGTAGTATTTGCTGCCAAACCAGAAGAAAACAATTTAAATAAGAAGACGCTTGATATGATGGTTATTTTTTTTTAAAGTGGGTCAGCCATACGCCTGTGGTCTTTAATTTCCTGAACTTTTTCCTGGTATTCATTTTAGCTGAGTCTAACCAGGGCCCAAAGTCATTTCGAAAAAAAAGAAGCTCCTTTGGGATGGAACCCACGACCCAAGCAAGCCTTTAGTCGCTTCACCGCGGGCGCTCACAGACCATGATTAGGACACATGCAAATATGTTTACTATATTATAATCACAAGTTAACCGTTGCTTTGTGCTTAAACGGTTAATGAATTTGTTACCTTGATTAACTTACCATCAACACTGTACAGACTGGGTTAGCGGATAAGAACGAATCTCTGACACTAACACAATTGGGTGACATGGGAGTAAAGTATGGTGAAGCACATATATACCGCCTTCTAGGCCGAGATAGGAGACATTATAACCGATCTCTGTTGGGAACATTTAGTGTAAGTATCTTAGAGTGGCTGCTGCATCGGAGGACTTAGCACGGATGAGAATGACCAGTGTGAAGCGACTTCGATTATAACAACATAACATAACGTTACTTTAATCATCGCATAAAATACCAGTAACAAAATGTGTCTGTGTCTCCCCAGGTGGGGATGTTTTTGATGGGCGCTGTCAACAACCTTCCTTACGTTGTTGTCAACTCTGCTGCAAGCACTATTGCTGAAAGGTGATCCACTGTGCTGCTTGTGTATGTATGTCTTCCACCTTACTATCATTGTTTTCTCAGGGTTGCCTTTAGCGCTCTTGCATAAGGACGCACAAGTCATTTGTTTGAATCTCCTTAGAGAGATAAACTAGGGGTTGGGGGGGGGGGGAGGGAGAGACCGAGGATAATTGGGGAGACAGACGAAGAGAGTCGATAGAAAGCGTGATAGACATAATACTGATAGAGCGAGATAAGGACATTAAAAGGGAGAACGAGATGGAAGAGAGAAATAATGGGAGATACAGAAGGATAGAGAAACGGTAGAGAGCGAGAGAGACAGGAAGAGAGACAGGAAGAGATAGAAGGACAGAGCCAGAAAGAGACAGAGAGGGGAAGAGTAGAGATGGGACAGATATAATGGGAAAGAAAAAAAAAGAGAGAGACAATAGAGAGCGATAGAGACAGAAAACGAGAGAGATAGATAGATAGATAGAGAGAGAGAGAGAGAGAGAGAGAGAGAGAGAGAGAGAGAGAGAGAGAGAGAGAGAGAGAGAGGAGGGGTGGAGACATAAATAGGACACAGAAAGAGAATGTGTGAGAGAAAACAATAAGACACGTCACAGTTTACAGTAACCAGTTGTATTGAGTGTAGATCAAATATTCACAGCTTCAACGAGAAGAACCTGGTCGGGGTTGTTTTCGCTGCCAACGTGGCGCTGTCTGTCTTCGTCAAGTGTGAGTAGCAGTTCGTGGTCGTCGTCGCCGCCATCACCATCATCATTATCCTTATTCTCATGACCAGTATTCAAAACAACGTTTAACCTGTGTGAACTTACATAGCACGACTCCTAATGTTCTACTTTATGTTATCAATGCAAAACATGGACAATGAAAAGGGTACTAAAACAGAAAAATAACTACATGTGAATTGCGCTGTCTCCGTAAAGTCACTAATAACACAAGAAGGGACAAGGTTTCGAATACCAACATTAGATAAGAATGTGGAATAAGACCGTGTCTGAATTATATTGACAGACAAAAAAAAAATGAAATGTTTCTGCCATTAGGTAAGAACGCAGCTAGATCAGACTGCATATGAGATTGTTTTTTTAGAGCAGAACATCTGAGAGGAAGCGATGGGAAGACCAAAAAAAAAAAAAAAGAGATGGATAAAGGGTGTAGCTGAAACCTGCAAAAGGACAAATAAATATGTCACACTAGCCACCCGAAAAGCGCAAGACAAATAGAGAAAACCACAACACTGGGCTGCAACCTGGTATCAGTGAGACCACAAGCGGGTTGGTAAACCGTTTTAGTTGTTTGTTTCACAATTGCTGGTACATGAGAGTTGAAGGTCAGATTTGCATCAGTGAGCAACCTTAGTGCTTTGTACTCAGTTACACATTTTACTTGAGTACCCCAAATGGTATCAGTGAGACCACAAGCGGGTTGGTAAACCGTTTTAGTTGTTTGTTTCACAATTGCTGGTACATGAGAGTTGAAGGTCAGATTTGCATCAGTGAGCAACCTTAGTGCTTTGTACTCAGTTACACATTTTACTTGAGTTCCCCCAATGCAGAATTGAAGCACTGTCTGTGAATTTAAATTATATAGTTTTTGTCTGGTCGTCATAGTTTTTTGCTCTATTAAAGTTTATTTGCACGCGGTCTGCACTGCTCCATTTGACTACATTATTTAATTCTTGCCGTAATGACGACTCTAATACATAACATGTTTGAGCAATTGTATAGATGTTACAATTGTCTGCGAATAAATCACTGAACGATGAAAGATACAAGGGGAAATCATTTATGTAAATACCAAATAACAGAGGATAGATAATCAAACCTTGAGGTATCCAGTATTTAAAGTAGTGGTCTGCGATAGCGATTTATTGTAAGAGATTATTTGTTTTCTATTTATGGAAAATTATTTTATCAATTTTAAAAGCCAAAGGTTAAATTTAATTGTTTCTAATTTTCTTATAAGAATATAATGGTATATCATGTCAAAAGCGTTCTTAAAGTCTATGAATACTCCTCCATATATTTTCTCATCGTTAATACTCTGATGCCAGTTTTCTATCTTGTTTGTTAAGATAAAATGACAACAATATATACACACTGGAAAAATTTGTATTTATTTGAAGCCCCACCCTGGCTTTTGCCAGGCCCCCCCCACCCCCCCCCCCCCAAAAAAAAGACCCAAAAATGACAATATTTTGGCCAAAACCCTGGTTTGTTATCCCCTATAAGTTTGTTGCGATCTAAATGATGAAATGTTATATTATGAATATGTTTCTCTAGTGATTTCGATTGTGATGTGAGAAGAATCGAACAGAGATCCACTAAACGGGCACTGAGATGGGAAATAACGGGAGTGACGAAGCGAAGATGCCCACAAGAAATACTAAACGAACGTAGATGAGAGAAGGCACATCAGCTGGGCTGGATTCCATCTACGATATTGAATTGATCGCTAACGACAAAATGGAATAGAAGAATAGACTGCGAGCCCTATGTGACATATAATGACACAAAAATACAATGATTATGATATTTTAAGATAGAATAGACAAGCTGGACACCACATCCATATATTTTATTGTTGGATGGAAAACTTGCTGTTGCATCCACAGCTCTCAACACATTCTTGCTGCTGAAAGTGTCGTATGGTCTCAGAATAATCGTCAATGGCTGTGTCATGCTGGCAGGTAGGGAATAACGGTCGATTTCGATTTCTTGCTTTTTTGTTTTTGTTTGCTTCCTTAAGAGAACAGCATGATTTACCTTTGTCCAGAGTAACTGCGACAGTGCACGCTCTTTCTTTCTTTCTTTCTTTCTTTCTTTCTTTCTTTCTTTCTTTCTTTCTTTCTTTCTTTCTTTCTTTCTTTCTTTCTTTCTTTCTTTCTTTCTTTCTTTCTTTCTTTCTTTCTTTCTTTCTTTATTTCTTTCTTTCTTTCTTTCTTCTTTCTTTCTTTCTTTCTTTCTTCTTTCTTTCTTTCTTTCTTTCTTTCTTTCTTTTAGTTCTTTCTTTCTTTCTTTCTTTCTTTCTTTCTTCTTTCTTTCTTTCTTTCTTTCTTTTTCTTTCTTCTTTTCTTTCTTTCTTTCTTTCTTTCTTTCTTTCTTTCTTTCCTTTCTTTCTTTCTTTCTTTCTTTCTTTCTTTCTTTCTTTCTTTCTTTCTTTCTTTCTTTCTTTCTTTCTTTCTTTCTTTCTTTCTTTCTTTCTTTCTTTCTTTCTTTCTTTCTTTCTTTCTTTCTTTCTTTCTTTCTTTCTTTCTTTCTTTCTTTCTTTCTTTCTTTCTTTCTTTCTTTCTTGATTGTTTCGATCTTGCAGGTAAACAGTCTTTGAAAATATGGTAGTTGGCTCATGCCAACGTTCCCTAGTCACCCCTTACGACATGTATCGCTAGTAAAGTAATACGATTTCCTAGTTTCCTTTTAGCCCTAGTAAGAAACCACGACTAATGATTGGAGATTTATGTAATATTTGCATTAATGAAAGAAAGTGCAGGTGCCTGAATTGATAATAATACAATTGTGTGTAGTATGTGCATTCAGAGATGTGGGAATGTTGGGCCCTCAGAACAACCACCCCCCCCCCTTTTTTTTCCCCCTTTTCAAGTTTTCTCTGCGTTTTGGTCCCTTACTGGTAATAATACTAGTTGAAGACTATATAATCTTTGTGTTAGTATATAAAATGTATTTTTTTTAAAAATGATAATAGGTGAAGACTGTATGTCGTGTCTTGGTGTATGAACTAGGAAAATAATAGCTGGGGGAAAACATCGTATCTATGAGCTTATGTCTCTATTGATGAAAGAAATCTAATTGGCTGAGATCTTCTTCTTCTTCTTCTCTTATTCACTTAAGATATAAGGTTCAGCTTTCTGACCCTGACGACACTGGACATAGTGTGCTCTTGTAGAGTAACGTTATCTTTTAATTGTGTTCTTGGTCTGTCTGGTACTCTACGCCATTTCACCTCTTGATGTATGCCTTGTGGAGTATGGATAATGCATTCTTTCTAAGTTGGCAAACTATTTTAAACTGACAGATTCATTCATTCATTCAGGAGCATGTCCCTCGCGGAACCTCGCTGCCATAACAACCCTCCGGAAAACCTTCCTATCATGAGCAAGATGTCCTGCGTCTGATACACCCATCTGGAGATCATCTGCCACATCCTGCACCCATCTTCTCCTTGGCCTTCCTCTTCCTCTCTTCCCAGGCATATACCCCTCCATTATTGTTCTCTCTAGACTTCCATGACGTTTAAACTGACAGATAAACATAGTAAATGAAGGTTATAGTTGATAAACAAATCTAATTATTTACTGAAGCCTTGGAACTGTGGAACCTGTGATAAAGGCGTGGGCTCGAAGATAACTTATCACAAACATCAGAAAGAGACAGACATAATTTTTTGGTCATGTTCTGAGAAGAAGGACACTGGAACATGTTGTGACCACTGGAAAGATCTGCGGAAAAGAGTCGGAGGAAGACAACACTAGAAGATTCTTGAAACCTGTTGTCGTGATCTCATACATGCCGTTGAAGATGGCAGACTTCGAAAAAGGTACGATTGTAAACGCCAATCGGCAAGGCATTTGATGCTGGATACAGCTGAAACCAGCAAAAAGATGAACATCCATTTCCGAAGTCACCGAGAAGCGCAAGACAAATACAGAAAAAAGTGACATTTGGGGCACAACCTGGTATCAGTGGAACAACAAAAGAAAAAGTAGAATGACAGACAGTGACAGAACTAAAGACAAGAACTAATGACATATCTAAAAATCTTATATTAATGTTTTGCCTTTCATCCTAGGCCTGTTTGGGATTGCATACGCTTTCAACTTCGGCTTTGCCATCGCGTGTATAGTAAGTGTTTTCTGTGTTGTGTAACCTCTTTGTGCCCCAGCTAATGGTACATCCACCCTTGACACTCCTTGTCACAATGATTTATAACATTATATTCTATACATTAAAATATAGATCGATTGGCACCTTTCCGTCAGAACCTATGGTGATGGCGAGTGTGACTAGAAAGACCCGCCCGTGTCAAGAAAAGACTTCCACAATGACAGCATGGGATTTCAGGACCATTGTTAACAACATTTGTGTTTGGTGTGTTTCTTCTCAAACGCCCAGCTCTCATCATTTCTGCGATTACATCTTCCTTCATTCGCATTCCCTTCCTGATGTGCCCCTTCCACACTAAACGGTCCATGCATTGTGTTGCTATGAATCCACCTCAATACCTGTATCATTCTTTTCCCACTTGCACACATATTTATATCGTAGTAGAGGTCGCCCTTGACATCTTCTACCCGTCTTCAATTCACCATAGAGGATGTCCTTAGGAAGTCCTTGTGGACTCTTGTCATCTTCCATTCTCCAGGTGTGGCCCAGCCACCTGAGCCTTCATAGGCTGAGCATTAAGAAGACTTTTGCAATACGTTCTTGGACATCGCATGTGAAAGCTATTTAGCCAGAAAAAAAAAAACCTTTTTTCCCCAAGCCGTGTACGCATCGTCATATAATTCTAGATTTATATTTTTGTAGACATTCCCGGACTGGCACCCGATGCCTCTTCAGTGTGAAAGGCAGGACTGGAGGAGAATAAGAAGGAGGAGGAGAAGAAGAAGGGAGAGGAGGAGGAGGAGAAGAAGAAGAAGAAGAAGAAGAAGAAGAAGAAGAAGAAGAAGAAGAAGAAGAAGAAGAAGAAGAAGAAGAAGAAGAAGAAGAAGAAGAAGAAGAAGAAGAAGAAGAAGAAGAAGAAGAAGAAGAAAAAAAAGAAGAAGAAGAAGAAGAAGAAGAAGAAGAAGAAGAAGAAGAAGAAGAAGAAGAAGAAGAAGAAGAAGAAGAAGAAGAAGAAGAAGAAGAAGAAGAAGAAGAAGAAGGAAAAAAGGAAGAAGAAAAAGAATGTCTTATTCCATGCACCCAGCATTTGAAAAAATGTAGTCAGCAATCATTATCAGCAATAAGCGTGTCCCTTACAATACTTCGCTCTTTTCACCCAAAGCCTGAAAGTCGTTCGATCTCTTAAAAATTTTCCAACCCTATGTGCTTCATAGCCAGTCCTGCATTCACTCTCACGGTCGGCGACATGTGCCTCGTTTTTACTGTTCTCTCCAGTTCACTTTGAGGATTAACATGGCCAGAAAACCTCAGCTTTCGGGAGCTATTTCTCCTCGATTATGTAGAATGTAGCATTACAGTGTTTTCCTTTTTTTCTGAGTCCACAGTATTCTCAGAATTAGTTGAGTAACAGAATGTGTATTAATCGGCACTCATAGAAAGAAGTAGAAAGATGCCTGGTTGACCATGTTCTTAGTGCACTTGTATTCATGGCGGGGCGCAGACGCCGTCTGGAGGTGACAGGTTCAATTCCAGGCACGGTAACTACAGCTTTCGATTTTTATGTTGCCTATTGTGTTCTTCTATCTTTCTACTTCTTTCTGTGAGTGCCGATCAATACACTTTCTGTTATCGATTCATTCATAATATTTAACGGCCTCAAAGGCCCCCCCCCCCCCCCACCCACCGTCTGTTTATAGCAAGAATTAGTTGGTAGCATTTCAAGTCAACAGCTGCGATTTTGTTCTCAAAGATCAAGTAAGAGCCCATAACTCACGCTCATGAGTTGCAGCGGTGAAGATGCCTGATCTCAATATTTGTACTTTATTTTCTCATTTATAGTAATTGTTATTCTAACGTCTCTCAACACAGGCTGTGATTGGATCAACATCAGCGTTCGGAGAAAAGTAAGTAGTTACTTCATATTATTTGCTCCACATGGGCGTCACAGTGTGGGTTCAGATGTCCGTTGGAAAAGAGGGTAAGGGAAGAGTAGGCTTACTTTCCCTTAAAATCACTACGCAAAAGGTGTCTAATGAAGGACTTAATGAAAGTGTATGTGATGTGCAGAAAGGCGCCAAAATCGTAGCCTAGCTGTAAACCACAACTCAACGTGTCAACCGACATTTCAAAGGCAAAAATCAAGATTAATATCACAAAGTTGTTAGAGCCATTAAATGCAGACAGTCAATATATTTTGAAAATTTATAATTAATCAGTTGGAAAACTTGCTTCAGAATAGCTAACATGATGAATAAAGAGCGCACTGAAGACGCAGATAAATAACCGGATTTCGTGGTCACGTGGTTTGGGCTGGACAAGAACATTGACCAGATCCGTGCCCCCGACCAGGCTGATGAACTTGGAGGTACAACCCGGAGCTGCAAGAAATAAACATTTCAGCAGTTTTCATTTATCAGCACAGGAGTCATCAATCGTTTTACGCTTGTGGAGTTTCTGAGGATGAGATCGGAGCACCAAAGGATCTGTCCAGAATGCTGTGAGTGCTCATTAATTACTAATCAGATCCCCGAGTCTTGTGATAATTTGAAACAGCGAACTGACTGACTGACTTTTTACTCCACCAGGACAACTACTGAGCGATAAACACCTGGCGCCACAATCGGAAGGAAGGCCCGTCCTGTTGATACTAAAAAACGTCATTTGGGACAATTGATCCAAAAATTGATAGATTCCTTAGTAGAATTCATCGACATAGCAACAAAACGATAAAAACAAAACTAGCTTTATGACATATATTGCCGATTCATATAGCCACATAATTTTCAAGTAACTGGCACCATTCAGTCTTTCTAAATGATATTTTTACAATGTTGCATGAGGAGGCATGAGATTTTGGAACCTCACAATAAGACAAAGCCTGGGCGGCATTCGAGGGTACATGTGTTGCCCATGCATCATCCTCACGGCCTGCCTTGTTTACTCCACAGGGTAGGTAACACCAGTACCAGAGCAATGTTTCCCTGTTGTGAATTTGAACAACAAAGCAATAAACAACAGATAGCACAGTTTAGGGCTAGGTATGTTTTGCTGTTTCTCGTCAGGTGTATCCTGTACTGACATTTGAATTATGCACACAGAAGGACATGGTGGTGATATTTTCCTTGGTGAAACAGTTACTTTTGAATGTAGTCAGCTGCCATTAACATTTTTTTGGCGGTGTTGAACCTCGCGCCTCCTCAGCCGCGTTAATTTATTATCTAACGGAAGTGACCTTGTTATTGTCCACAGTGTGACATTAGGATTCCTGCTAGGATTTCCGGGGTCACTTGTCAACGCCTGGTCAAGTGGGACAGGTATGGCCGGACTGTTGGGATCCTCTCTCTACGTCCTTTTTGGTAAGTTTTTGAGATTGTAAACTTGCCTACTACTCGTATCCATACATTGTCGAAGGTAACATGCAATCTCTCAATATTTTTTTGTTTGCTTTCTATAGTTTCGGTGGGGGCGTGGTGGTGTAGCGGCTAGATGCTCGCCTGCGAATCGGAAGGTCGTGGGTTCGGGTCGTGACGGAGCCGGACATTTTCCCAAAATGACATTGGCTCTCAGATAGACCCAGCCTCGAGTCGGTACCAGATACAGTCCTGGAACCGACCGATTAATGATTGATTTATATAATGTAGGTTTAACCCTACTTGACAAGTATGCCCTATGAGCTGTGATGTCGATTCTTAAATTATTAATCAGCAAATAGCGTAGACCTATCATTATATCATTTACTCCAAACAGGATGTGTTGTTGGTAGCGGACAGGACAAGACAAACAAACTTCACAGTTTAACCAAGTAAGTCCCCGTGTCAGTTTGTATATATAAACAGACAACCTCAGCTCGGGTGATTAAATGAAATGGCTAGTGAAAACAATATTGAGGTTTCATACTTATAATCATCTTATTCCACACCGTGCATCTAACATAAACATGACTGGTGGGACTAACAATAGGTTGAGACTGACAGCAAATAGGGAAGACAAATGGATCGATACTGACAGGACCAGAGCACCTAACCACCAATTCCACCCCCCCCCCCAATGGTACGATGGTAAAGACCGGTGACATGATGCGTATTCCAGGGATCTGGTATTTACGTACACCGGAGCCTTCTAACCCAAACCAACACAATCGGACCACACTATAACAAATGACGGATGGAATCATTGTGAGGCTCCACATAACATTTAACACACATCTCCATGACATGATTAACCCGCTCGTATTGCAGAAAGACAACCATAAGACCAATACGGTCACACGCGGAATATTTTCACATTTCGGGTCTATCCAAACCCAAAAACTGTTTTTAGTACTTTTCGACAAAGTAAAATACAATTCTAAAACTATAAATTATACATTAAACCCAGAGACGGCGTATATACCATAACTTTAGCCACGAAAGTGGCGCAAATAAAGAAGACCACAAATATAGCCGGAGATTGTTGGCAGTTTCGTTTAGCTAGCTGCAGGTTGAACGTGGTTAAGTTTTTTCTTTTTTTTTCTTTAAAAAACAAACAAAAAATATTGAGTATTCTTTACAGGACGTTGCAGAACCAGCCCCAGCACTTTCTGGCTGTTGTGGTTTTTCTAGGCAAATTTACGTCCAGTAGTTTGCCATTGCTTCCTAGACGGTCGGCTCTCGGTACCACGATCGAAACTATCGCTAAAAAAAGAAACGTCAGCAGCAGGGATCGAACCCGACAACCCGACATTACGAAGCGCGTTCGCAACGCCTAAGCCACAGACACCGACTTTTTCTTGAAAGGAATTGGAAAAGATTAGGGCCATTGGTTGTTTGTGCGTGAACCCATCAATGCTCCTTTAGCAAGGCGCTGTCGTCCTTTAAATTTGGCAGTCTCAATTCCCTGAGTGGTCGCCGCAACTTGCAGTCTAGTGCACAGACTATTTTGCGCGCGCGCACACGCACACACAAAACTGCTGCCCTCAAAAGGCAACTATACATTCTCTTTACTCTGTAATGGCACAGAGGAAAAGACAGGAAAAAGAGGAAAGAACGACAGGAAGAGTAGAAATAGGGGCGGCGGGAGGGGGAGGCGTGGAAAAGGGAAAGGATGTGACTTGAAGAAAAAGAAGAAGTAGTAGTTGCAGCATTATTATCAGCTGCAATGCTAGTAGAGTAGTTAGAACATCAGCAGCAACAGCAGCATTATTATCATCAGCAGCAGTAATAGTAGCAGCAGCAGCAGCAGCAACAGCAGCACGAGAAGGACTGGAAAAAGATATAAAAAAAGCAATCGAAAAGATGAAAACGAAAAATAAAAATAATGATGATGATGATGCTGAAAATGAAGATGAAAAGAAGAAGAAGAAAGATTGAAAACGAAGGAAAGAAATATGAGGAGGAGAATGACAGAGAGGGAAAGATAGAAAAATGAAGAGGCATTAAAAGAACAATAAAACACACATAAAAGAAGCAAATAACACGGACCATAATGAAAATACGACGACTATCTCAACTTAATATAACCACCTCATCATCTCAGATATGCCTTCCTGTTGACAACACCCGTTGTCCTCCTTTACTGGCTGGCCTATTTCATCATTATCAAACGTCCATCAAGTCACCCAGACCTCCAGGTGGTGGTCCCGGACCTTCCAGTCAACTACGGCACGGTTGGTCATCCACAGAACAGACAGCAGCAAGGCGATGGCGATTTGGGTAAGGTGACAAAGATCTTAAACGCTGGCAGCATCAATACTCAAGGTAAACATAACAAGGTTGTCTCTGTGTACATCTGAACAAAGAGGACGTACGCAACAATGGATGAAGATGTGTGTGGAGGATGGGGGGGGGCACCTAGAGGTTTAGGCACATTGGACACCCGTACCATCAATTTTGTTCTTAATAAAACAAATTTCTAGTGGGGATAAGTGTCCCGGCGCCTTTTCTCTGTCCAGCCATGTAAAGAAGTTCCTTTTCCAAGTATGTATTTATACATTCTATATTATTCCAAATATTGTACTATTTTTATTTATAATTTAGCAAAAAGTTATAACAACGTTTAATATGCATGTTCATTAGGCATTTAAAGAAGATTTAATCACACTGAGAGCCTTAAGAAAACTAGTGGGGATACTGACCCAAACCCCCACGACCCACTCCCAATGTTTTGTTTGTGTCTGCGCCTCTGAAGAGGTTCAAACTGAATGTCTGGCTGTGCACGGTAAGACACACATACCGCCGCAGCAGCGTTGTAGCTAAAAGCTCGTCTGCCGGCCTGATGGTCTCAAATTCCAATCCACACAAATACCGATATTTTGTTATGACCTTCGCTCCTGGGTCGACCTAGTATAAGACTGGTACACAGAGATTTATGAGATATAAAGGCGGCCGGCGTGATGTTGACCTCATCACTACTCTACATCTGAATAGTCAGTCAATGTTTTCTATGCCCGATGCAAAACTTTCATCTTTTACCATCTGTTTCATTTAATTAAATACTACACGCATTCGAGTCACAGTCAGGTCTGTCGACGATGACACTCTACTGTTAACTTTGCGAGCAGAAAATTGCACTGGAAAAGCAGAAAATCAAATTTTACAAGTATAAAATCTAACTTTTTAAGCAGACAGCCCACTTTGCAAGCATAAAACACTATAATTTGCAAGCATTAAACACAATAATTTGCAAGCATTAAGCACAATAATTTGCAAGCATTAAACACAATAATTTGCAAGCATTAAGCACAATAATTTGCAAGCATTAAGCACAATAATTTGCAAGCATTAAACACAATAATTTGCAAGCATTAAGCACAATAATTTGCAAGCATTAAACACAATAATTTGAAAGCATTAAACCCAATAATTTGCAAGCAGAAAACCCAGCCTTGCCCACGTGTTGTTGTATATCTTTTGCTAACTTGTTTTGTAGTTTTATATTCAGTGTTGTTTTTATAAATATTATTATGCATTTGTCCATCTGTCTCTTGTTTTTCTTTTAACAATTCTTTCTGGATTCCTGGGTGTCTTTTGTTGTTCTAGTTAATGACATCCGTGCATAGATATGACGACAGCAATACAAAAATATGTAAATAGGGCTTAAATAATGACCCGAAATCATTGTTGAACAGGGTATAGAGACCTATCTTCGAGCAGTAAGCCCTCAGAGTCTGCCTGTAGGAGGATCGTCAGATGTTTACGGCTGGTTCTTTGGTTGGCCATTAACGCAAGTTCTTTGTCCTTAGTCCAGTAACATGTTCGGTATTTTTTGTTCTGTGATTTGTTTTCAGCGAATTGTGTATGTTGATTAGGAACATTAACTCTGTTATTTTTTACAGTAAGTCAGGCGTTAAATGTTACGTCCCATTTGAGCAGTCGAAATATAAGCACATAAAAACCGACAGGATCATAGACATTATATATGTGTTATCATCCATTTTCGTCCTTATTAGGACGAAATTTTTTGTCATTTGAAGCCCTACCCTGGCTTTTGCCAGGGGCCGCAATATAGGCAGGCCATACATATGGCCAAATGTCTGAACGCGGTTTCTGGGACCTCTCCACGGCGATCCTCATCCGCATGGTGGCACTTTGTGTCATCGGGTGTTTATCGCTTGTGTGATGTCCTGGTGGGGTAGAAAGTCGGTCAGTCAGTCAGTTAGACATTATATCAAAATGAGACAGTGCAGAAGAGGAATACATTTATGAGTAAAATGGGAACAAATTAAAAAAAAAAGAGTGGATTAAATTGAGACAAAAAAAAAAAAAAAAGGGGGGGGGGGGGGGGAGGGGGAGGGTTTGGGTAATCTGTATGGCATAAGAAAGGATAATTTAACTTGGCGGTGTGAGCTAGCTGAAAGCGTTTTACTCCACTGGGGGATAAAATGATAGAGGAGTATTTAAATAAACAACAACTAATATGCATATTAATTAGCTCAAGTAATTGTATATCCCAATTAGGATACCCCCCCCCCCCCCCCCCAAAACAAAACGTTACCAGAATTTTTACGTTTTGTATATACATAATACATACATACATGTTTGCATGCAAGAATACAGACAGGCAGGCAGAAAGACAGACAAATAATCAGACAGCCAGCCAGACAGACACACACACATGCATACATAAACACACAAATACAGACATGCACACACACACACACATACATACACACATGGCTCTGTAATACTTTTTTTTAAAGACCGATACTTAATTATACACATCGTCCCTTTTAGGATGAAATTTTTCGTTATTTGAAGCACCACCCTGGCTCTTGCCAGTGGCCGCAATATAGCCTGGCCATAAATATGGCCTAATGGCTGAACTCGGTTTCTGGGACCTCTCCACGGTGATCCTCAACCACATGGTGGCACATTGTGTCATCGGGTGTTTATCGTTTGTGTGATGTCCTGATGGGGTAGAAAGCCAGTCAGTCAGTCTGACCGATTCTCACTACAGAGTGTTCAGTAAGGGAGGCCAGTATGCACCACAAAATGTCTGTTACATTAGTACTGAAAAGTGATGCGTTCAAGAGATGCCGGTACTGTGTACTGTTGCCTACCATGACACAAGCCCTATAGACACACAAACACACACATACTAAAGGTAAAATGTGAACCTAATATACCATGCACCAGTAGGCCAACATTGTAGGGAATCATGGAGATAAACTGTCTAGGATATGCAGGTGTGCGAGGGAATGAAAGAGCGGATTTTCTCGCTACAAAAGCGAAAGCTACGGGAACACTCGTATTGGACAAGGGAGATATTCTGAAGACCATATATGAAAGACTGTTGGTAGAAGACACGAGATAAAATGAAAAAAATATGGGCAAGAATGTGTGAACGATGAATTAAGCGTGGAACCGGCAAGGAGTCACGGATGAGAGGAGAACGACGTGTGTATAATAAGAGTGCTACAGGAACAGTAAGCATCTAGACCTGACGTCATTAGCTGCGGTAGACGGAGCATCTATGAGTATGCCCGGTGTGCTATGATTTCACTTCTTTAATCAGTAAACCAGTAAATCAGTGAATTAAAGTTTGTGAATTGTTAATATATAAAATACTGTCTATCCAGCTGTGTGCAGTGTACATGTTTGAGTATGTGGCCCAGGCTTGTGCGGCTAAGGTTAGATCCAGCAAAGAATATAATGTTGGCTGTCCTGAACTTTACGCTTCCCTTCAGCTCTGCTATCAGGTACGTATGTCCGTTGGCTGTTACGTGTTTCTTACCAACTGCACTTTTAACTATCAGGTTTGAATTGACATATTCTGTTACTTTCGTAATCATTATCTAAATAAAGGACTGGTATTCTCTCTGTCAGGCATATTGGGCATGTAGGGCTAGACCTTTATTTAATAGACCAATTGACCTATGTGGTCACATCACACCGACCGTCTTTACTTCCCACGTCTTAACTTGGTACCTATTTAGGGCTGAGTCCAGCTGGTAGCTGCGGGTTCGTTCGGATTTCAACCCGCGACCTCCGGATCAGCAGGTTAGCCTCTAGCCGCTACACGACGGAGGCGGATCTCTATTATCTAACCAAACTATATAGTTCTGCTGTCTCCTCAATGGAGCTTGGCTGCAATAAAACCACCGCTTAGTATAGGAGTATTATAATCTGGTTTCCTAGTCCAATCCACTGTATGACTCTCGTACCTCTCCCTAAAAACAACGAGAGTGCTGCCCCCCCCCCCCCCTTTTTCCAATTGCGAGAATTGAAATTTGTTGATTGCCAAGAAATACTTTGCGAAACTCACTGTAATTAAACGGTAATGGAAAGATGCATTAATGAAGTTAAATGTAGAAAAGCTCAAACAAAGACAGCCTTTTACGAACTGAACAATATTAGGTGCAATTTGTCTTTGCCAGCTGAGATGAAAAACATAACTCTCAAGAGATTTATCAACCCTATCTTGAACGTGAATCATAGACATTTGGACGATTAGAGAACAATTATTTGGAAGCAGAATACCCCGATAAAGATATACATAAATACCGAAATTGTCTTGAAAGAAACTGACTCACGAATACAACTGACTGCCCATGTCAGAAAGAGACTATATTATTTGGTCATGTCATAAGAAAAAAACCTAGAGTACATCGTGATCATGGGAAAGTTGGAGGGGAAAGATGTTGAGGGCGAAAGAGAAAGAGAAGATGTTGGATAGCATGACATAATGACACGAACAATCATCTGTGTCACAAGTAATTTAAAGTACACAAGGCAGAAGGTTGTGGATAAACATGACTACCTACGCCACACGACACGGACTGTAAGAAACAGACAATGAAAGGGGGAGGGGGGGGGGAAGGAACTAACCTCCTTCCTGAATTAGTGGACATTTAAAGTCATACTTCCCCTCCGACACCTGGATCTACACAGCTGAGCATGTTCGAGCAAATGTAACCTTCTTATGTTAACATCTCATCTTTGGAAGAAAAAATGTTTAAAAATTTTTTTTTTGTAAAAGGCTGTATTCGATTGCTAAAGGGTGAATATAATTTGTAAAAGCGTGAATTTGGCTTCCCGAACGTGTATCTGAACTTTTTCTGTTCTTGTTAAAATTCATAAAAGAAAACTCATTAGTACCCACCACAAAGTGTGTTACATACTGCGAGAAAAAAAGACACGTAAAATATACGCATATACAGATTGTTAAATAGCATCCAATAATTTTCCACCGCTAACGTCTGCAGGCTGGAGTTTTTGTGTCCAGATCAAGCGTGCAACTGTTCAAAATTCGACGAGTTGAAATACTTACAATCTGGCAATTTGTAAATATGATATTATGGATTGTCGACGATCACGTAAGTAACCTGGCAAGAACGATGAATGTATATTTTACAAATACGTTAATTTGTATGACGAAGTGTTTTAGAAGTGCTGGCAAAGCTACAAGTGGGGGTAGTTTTAAAAATAAAAACTTTAAAAAAAGATTTAATGAAAATACACTATTTGTGGAAAATGTAAAATGGTTTAGTACAGAATCAGTAGAGACACAAGATTAATTTGACGGGGACAGAATACGGCACCTGCGTGTAACCAGATGTACTGGCCGGCTCACTATACTTAAAGGAAAGGCAAGGCGGGCATTTAACCAGATTGTGACTGGTACCATCAGTATTGGAACTCTATGCTGGCTGCTGAAGATGAGGACGGAGCACGCATAGGAATGCCCAGAGTGCTGCCATGTCTGTTCTTGACTCGACTCAACTCAGCTCAATAGACAGACACAAATGGACGGAGGGCGGGCGGGCAGACAGACAGAGAGGCAGACAGACAAATGGAGATATGGATAGACAGAGACAGACAGTGAGAGAGACTGAGAGAAAGAGAGAGATACATAGAGAAACAAAGACAGAGAGGGACAGAGAGAGAGAGAGAGAGAGAGAGAGAAAAATACAGACAGACACTGCCGTACAGAGTCAGATAGAGACAGCCAGACAAAGAGATAGTGAGACAGACGGGCGGAGAGTTACAGGCAAACATTCATAGGGAGAGAGACAGACAGATAGAGGCAGACATAGAGAGACAGACAGACAGACACAGAGACTGACAGTCAGAGAGAAACAGAGAGAGAGAGAGAGAGAGAGAGAGAGAGAGAGACAATGTCAGAGAATAAAAGAGAGACAGACAAACATAGATATAGTAGAGAGACAGACCGAAAGACAAGCATAAAAAAATATATATAGAGAGAGAGGGAGACTGACAGAAAGAGATAAAGAGAGACGTGGAGAGACAGAGAGATTGAGATTCAGAGAGATAGAGAGACAGAGTTAGAGTCGGAGAGTTGGAGAGACAGAGTAGAGAGACAAAGAGTTCGATAGAGACAGAGACTTAGATAGAGACACAGAGTTAGATAGAGGCATAGAGTTAGATAGAGACATGTGGATAGATTAGATAGAAACAGATCTTAGATAGAAACGGATAGATTAGAAAGAGACGGATAGATTAGATAGAGACGGATAGATTAGAAAGAGACGGATAGATTAGATAGAGACAGGTGGATAGATAGGGAGGGTTGGATGCGTAGACTAGATAGAGACAGGTGGATGGACAGAGAAAGATGGATAGTTAGATAGACAGATAAAGAAGGATGGATAGTTAGATAGTTGAAAGAAAGATTTTATACATAAATAAATATATATATTGACAGTACAAATTCCTGCCAGTAGCAGCGCTTCCGGCACTAATGATCGTTGTGGGCTTATTGGGTGGGGCCTCCTATGTCAACATATTTTACCTCATCCTGCATGAGGGAGACTTCCCAGCCGAAGACCGAGAGCTGTGTGTCAATCTGACTGGCATCTTCATTACTACAGGTCAGTTGAAAAAATACATAGCCATAATTTTTTTTTCTTTTTCTGTTCTTGTTTAATTTTCTGTTGCTGATTAAAAAAAATGTAATCATATATTTTGTAATGCCGGGTTTGATCCCAGCTGCGGGCCTAGCGCCTTGCTTTTGTTTCGACGGTGGTATCAAGAAGCCGACCGTCCAAAACGCAATGGCAAACTACTGGACGTAAACTTGCCTAGAAAAACAACAACAGTAAAAAAATGCTGGGGTTGGTTCAGCAACGTTCTTTATAGAATACGCAGCTAACTTTAGTATTTGGCGACTACTACAGTCACGAGGTCCTATCTGTTCCTGTTTAGCAATGCTACTAAGAATGCGAGAACTGGGATAAAGATTAGCACCGTTAGGCACGAGAGACGCCGGATTTACAGAAAGTCTTGTCGCCGGTAATAGTTCCCACTGGATGCTGATGAATATGCTGAACTGGGCTTAAACATTCATGGGTGTGTCCCCAACCGGTAACTCATAACTCACACACTTTTTGATAACCGATTCTAATATATTTCCACGATTTCGTCCACAGGTATCGTTCTTGGCTCAGGATTTCAGACATTGCTGTCTATAACTGTACTTAAGGATGACTAAATGAGTACTCTAAGAAAAGGATGACTTAATGAGTACTTTGAGAAAAGGATGACTAAATGAGTACTCTGAGAAAAGGATAACTAAATGACTACTTTGAGAAAAGGATGACTAAATAAGTACTTTGATAAAAGGATGGACAAATGAGTACTCTGAGAAAAGGATGACTAAATGACTACTTTGAGCAAAGGATGACTTAATGACTACTTTGAGCAAAGGATGACTAAATGAGTACTTTGAGAAAAGGATGACTAAATGAGTACTTTGAGAAAACGGTGACTAAATGAGTACCCTGAGAAAAGGATGACTAAATGAGTACTTTGAGAAAAAGATGACTAAATGACTACTTTGAGAAAAGGATGACTAAATGAGTACTCTGAGGAAAGGATGACTAAATGACTACTTTGAGAAAAGAATGACTAAATGAATACTTTGAGAAAAGGATGACTAAATGAGTACTTTGAGAAAAGGATGACTAAATGAGTACTTAGAAAAAAGGATGACTTAATGAGTACTTTGAGAAAAGGATGACTTAATGAGTACTTTGAGAAAAGGATGGATAAATGAGTACTTTGAGAAAAGGATAACTAAATGAGTACTCTGAGAAAAGGATGAATAAATGACTACTTTGAGCAAAGGATGACTAAATGAGTATTCTGAGAAAAGGATGACTAAATTAGTACTCTGAGAAAATGATAACTAAATGAGTACTTTGAGAAAAGAATGACTAAATGAGTACACTGCGAAAGGGATGACTAAATGACTACTATGAGAAACGGATGACTAAATGACTACTTTGAGAAAATGATGACTACATGACTACTTTAAGAAAAGGATGACTAAATGACTACTTTGAGAAAAGGATGACTAAATGACTACTTTGAGAAAAGGATGACTAAATGTCTACTTTGAGAAAAGGATGACTTAATGTCTACTTTGGAATTATTTTCAAGGGAAAGCAGAATATTTTCATTTTGATTTTTTTGCATTATTTTCTGATTGATGATCGACTAACTGAATAATGTATTAGCTAGAACTGACGTCAAACTCTCACTTCTTCTTTTGTCAAAATCTGCTTGTCCCGCTAGGCGTCGCAGTCTATCAGATGATCGGCAACCGAGCCAGGGCGCGCTCAGTCGCTTCATATGCCGTGATGTTATGAAGTCTCAAGTTGTCCGTGACTCCTTCAATCCTAAAAACTCTCACGTAAACGTTAAAAAAAAATTTAACAATAATCTGAGTTTATCTAGAGATTTTGTTTTCTAGTAAAACTATGAAGGTATTATACACAAATGTTGCCAGTGCTCACTACAATGTATTTATTACAGTAGTACTGAAACAGATGAATCCAAAAACAGGTGCCAATACTGCGTATCGATACCTACCGCCAGGGTAAAAAAAGCCCTGGCTACATCTAGTATTTTGTGACAGACCCACATTTTTTATATTCCGATTTGGTCATATCAAGCGCCATGGCGGATTGGACAAAATAATAGCAGAAATCATGGTACCAGGAAGGAGGGGCAGGGTCCGACTAGCACAAAGAGGGCCACGTGATATGAGAGATTTCTTGAATATAAAAGTACACGAGGCGGGAGAGCTGGTAAGAGACCTTGATGACAGCGACGTTCTGCTAGGAACCTGCTACATCATGACGAATCAGGCAGGCGATTAGAGACATGGCCAACATCACGCTTACTGCCTTTACTTTCGGCTACTTTAATAAATACACAATTAATACTGGTCGGCCAGGCAGAAAGGATCTTTCTTATACAAATCCGACTTGATGTTGTTTGGAATCCAAGACATCTGGATCGAGAGAGCCTTCAGGAGCAAACGCAATATAAAGTTTTTATACTAGCCCAGAATTTAAAGGATGTTCTATATTCAACGTGAAGTCAAAACCTGTGAAATGAGATGTCCAAGGAAAGCAAACTTACCATCCAAAACAAAGTAAGAAATTATATTATCAGACAAAATGTGGGAACAATATCACGCAGCAAACTGATGAGGAACCATACTATCAAATGGTTTATCCAATTTTGTAAGACAGGCCAAGCAAGCTGGTAGTGGTGTAATCAACCGCCATAAGTCTGAAAACAAAAGACACTGAAATTAACAAGTACAAGATTATGACGCTGTTAAAAAAAAATGGCTATGGTGACCACATCAGGATGCGAACCTGCCATCCACAAATTGCCTCAGAGATCTAGGAGAACTGATACTATATTTTATAGCTCAAACGGTACATGTTGGGCAAACTGAATTGTATTAAATGAAAAATATTTCATACAATAAATACATGTCACTGGAGGTTGGGAAAAAGACATCTCGCATACCATATAAAGAATCAGGAACAATGTATAATGACACCAAAACAATAAGCCAGGCGTTCAAAACAAATATTATTAGTTTAAACAAATATTGCATTTAAAATTTGACAAGAAAATTGCAAGTTGAAACACAACAGAACAACAATTTGTGAGACTCCCCCCCCCTCTTCCCCGTTATCCCCCCCTCTTCCCCCTCTTTCCCTCCCTCCCCCTCTTTTCCCTTTCCTCTTCTCTCCCCCTTTTCCCCTCCTTTCCCCCTTTTCCCCTCCTCTCCCCCTTTTCCCCTCCTCTCCTCCTTTTCCCCTCCTTTCCACCTTTTCTCTCCCTTTACCCCCTCCCTCCTTTCCCATCTTCTCCCTCCTTTGATCTCTCCTGCCTCTCTCTCACACACATACACACCCCTCTCCCCCTTTACCACCCTCCCTACCTCTTTTCCCGTCTTCTCCCTCCCTCGATCTCTTCTGCCTCTCTCTCACACACATACAAGCACACCAAATCTGCCAGTCAACAATATCAAATGAACACCTCATGTGGACCCCACAACGGTGGATCCCCCCGGCTTGATGTGAAAAGAGAATGCTTCTTCTTTTTACTTCTGGGTGATGATGACGATAAAATATTAACACTAAATAATCATAAAACACAGAGAAAATATCACATGTCCAGTGTAAAAAGCTACAGTTTGAACTTTACACACAATCTCTGCCACAACACATATACTAACAGACTAGAGCATGAGTGTGACATACACATTATGTCATCTAAGTTCCTGTCACACACAAACACTGACAGGCACATAAATGACATGATCTTTACAGACACGTCAAAGTGAGCACAATTTCAGGCACAATGAACAAACAAACAAAACAACAACATGAAACTGGTGTCACAGTATATAACTACAGGACTATTAGGCTGCTGTCACAACAAAATAAGAGACAAGTAAGAACAAAATAAAATTAGATCAAAGGTGAACAAAGATACCACTAAACGTCTGAAAAAGAAACAACGGTTAAGGAACCCTTCCCACACCTTCAGGCATATTAGGCATCAAGTGCTAGACTGATATTTTATAGACCAATCGGTACTCAGTTGGTGATGTGGTCAACATTATGCTGGCCGCCTTTTCTTCCCAGGACTGTACCTGGTAACCGCTTCAGCCTGAGTCAACCTGGAAGCCAAGGTAATTTTTTTGAGAGGAAACTTTTCCTCTCTGTCAGGACCCGAACACACAACATTTTGATCTGCAAGCGAGCGTCAATATACCAGGGCAGCTCCCCAAAATAGATCACTATGGACAGATCAAACAAGTAGGCCAGGTCTGGAAACTCCTGCTGGAGAACAGCTGTGCAAGGGAGACAATGGTTTCCACAGGAAGATAATATTAGAAAGGGGATGTCCAAATGTACCGTTGTGATAAGCGAACTGACACCAGAGATTTATTGCTGCAGGCCGTCCATCGATGTGAAGACAGCAACATGTCTGACATTGTATAATCAGAGAACATTCAAATATGGCTGGATGTGACAGGTATCTCTGACTCAAGAGGCAAAGATACATTGATCCATACAACATACAATAATTCTCTGACACAAGTAGCAAGAATACAATGATCAAGACAACATTTCTCTGACAAGTAGCAACAATACAATACTTTTTAAAATTAATATCATGAATGGGTCAAGTAGAAAGCAAATGATGTCACTGGTGGCACAGGATTTTTTTTTTTTAAAGTAAATATTGCAGTATGTGTACATAGTTTTATTCTAATACACGCAACCAAGCGTGTCCATCAACGTGTTTTCTTTTTTTCTGAATTCAACTGCCAACTATACTTCACCAGAAACTTAAACAATAAAGAGCATCCAATGACAGAAAAAAAAAAAAAAAAAAAAAAAGCAACAATACAATGATCAAGACAACATTTCTCTGACACAAGTAGCAAGAATACAATGATCAAGACAACATTTCTCTGACAAGTAGCAAGAATACAATGATCAAGACAACATTTCTCTGACACAAGTAGCAAGAAAACAATGATCAAGACAACATTTCTCTGACACAAGTAGCAAGAATACAATGATCAAGACAACATTTCTCTGACAAGTAGCAAGAATACAATGATCAAGACATTTCTCTGACAAGTAGCAAGAATACAATATCCACACAACAATTCTCTGACACAAGTAGCAAGGACACAATTATCCACACAAAACACAACAATTCTCTGACATAATGTAACAATAATACTATGATCAATACAACATACAACATTTCTCTGACATAAAAGCAAAAATACAATGATCCATACAATGTGAAACAATTTTCTTACATAATCAGCAAGAATATAATGATCCATACAACAGTAGAATACTGCTTTCAACATATATTAAGACATGCTGGGTCATAGGGTGTTTTTCTCACACCTTTTTTTAAACTTGGGATGTCCACACTGTCTGTAGCAAGTCTTTTGCACAACATTCCTCAAACTGCCAGAATGATCCAGCAGGGCCTCAGTTCTTCTCCTTTCCCAGTGACCTCAGCCAATTGTTTGGAGGGGTTTCCTCAGTGACCCTTCTGCTAAACGTCCTGTGTACATGTACTTACTGATAGAACCTGAAACCAACGATCGCTTAAATGTGTGTATGGTACATAGGTAGCCTGGAAAAG